TCTTGTTTCACCGTGTTTGTTCAGCAAACTCATACTAGACACAATCAACATGAGAAAGTAAACATAGCTTGCGACAAAGTTCAGCCCTCTCTCACTGCCAAAGGATCAACATGGAAACTAGGGGTCAACAAATACAAGTTTTTCAATGGTTTATGTTGATATTTATTAAGCAGGGGTTACAATGGCAGATGTATAATGCTGATAAATTGCATTTGATAAAATCCAACCATTCAATAATAATTACAATTGAAACACAGAATTGCTGAACTGTTATAGGACATGTATGTGACTCTGTACTTGTTTGCATTGTCTCTGTTTGCCTAGGTAGATCTGCACTTTGTCTGCAGTGCACTTATTTAAAAAGGGAAGGATATTTAGACTGAATAAATGTCCACAGGTTGTAAAAAAACGACACCTTTTAAATCTTATGAATAAAACACAACCACAGTTTTAGTACAACAGTGTTTTATCAGCAGCATTTCTGTCTCAGCTTATACAATGAAAACTGTCTAAAATACTTATGAAATAAATATATTAGATTAGATTAGATCAGAAGCATTTGTTGTCATTATACAAGTTCAACGAGAAGAGTAAACTCCCTTTAAAGGGCCCATGTCATGCTTTTCTGGTTATTACCCGTCCCCTTGTGTGTTATGAAGGTTTTTCTGCATGTAAACGGTCTGCAGAGTCACAAACCCTCAAAGTACACCCTGTAGCGAGTAAAACTCTAACACAGAAAAGACCTGTCTATGCTGCCCCAGAACGCCTCGTTGGAGATTTCTCTTTTTCCATTGTTTGCTTCCTGGGTTCTCTGATGTGTGAATACCCAAATCAACAACAAATGACCGGATTGGCCCAAATGGACCAATCCGCGGAGCACCTCACACACCAGGATCCCTTGGCTAACTAACAGGGAGTCCCCATTGACTTGCATAGAGCTCCCTGGTTGGTAATAGACGAGTTGGGATTGTGGAGAAATGCTCTCCACAGACCCATTCTCACAGCGTTATAAACCTTTTTCTTACTCAATATCAAGCCACACTTATTGTTTTTACTTCGGCTGTGAGTGTTTGTGTGTGCTCAGGATGAGTTTCGCGCTGTCTCGCTGTATTGCCGACCCGGAAACCTGTCCGCTCCTCGCAGCAGCGAGCCTCGCAACGTCCCGACCAATCAGAGCACACTGGGCTCACAAGGAGGGGGGGCAGGAGCTCCAACAAGCCGTTTAGGACAGAGAGTGAATACACATACTATACAGAGATGCTGTATGAGAAACCAATGTGATTTTTGAAAATTGCACAATTTAAATCTCTTCTAGTAGACCTCAACAATGGAATTATGATCAGTAGAAATGGCCATGACATGGGACCTTTAAGGTGCCATCAAAACATTCAGAAAAGACAACTTACAACAAAGACAGGCAGCATTCACACGTACATAAAATAATAACAAAATGAAGTGCAATATAGTATAATAAATATGTATGTGTGTATTGCAGAGGGAGGAAGACTAAGCCGTAGTATGGTAATAATCATTCTACTAATAGGGAAAACTACAATGAGAGAACAATGAGTATTTCCATAAAGGGCAAGTCAAACTCACCAATCAAAAGGTTTCAGTTTTTTACTCAACGCCACTTCAGCAGCTGATTCAAAGGACTGCATAAAAGCCTGAAAGCACTGCCTCCTGTTATTCAACCCAGTGTGTTTCATAACAAACAGGTGATTCACTGTGTTGTATAATGTGAAACAGCACACTCTCTAACAGGAAGGGGCGATTATTAAATGGTAAATTGACTTCATTTACATAACGCTTTTCCAGTCTTTGATACCCCTCAAAGCGCTTTACATAAACAAGTCATCATTCAACCGTTCACACACAGGCAGTGGCTACCATACACCTGCTCAGGATGACACACACACACACACACACACACACACACACACACACACACACACACACAACCTTAACCATAACCATAACCAACACATGTCTAACCCTAACCCTAAACCTAACCAAGTCTTCACTCTAAAATTAATGAGTAAGAAAAACCTCTACGTTTTAGGGTTTGTTTTGTACTTGTACCACCAGAGCAGAACTGGAGAGTGTTTTGGCCAGACAGGGAGTTACGTGAGGTCAAAATGACGAATTTTGAACAAGAAGGACGGACAGTATAATTAAAAAAAAGCACTTTTTAGCAGTATGTGTCCACGCCTGGAGGGACTGTCTGCATAGTGACAATTAGTGAGATGTATTTTTTATGGTATTTTATCTCATTTGATTTGTATTTTACATTCTGTTGTCACTTTTAATAATACTCTTGTAATTGTATTTGATCTTTTAGCCCTGGGCCACATCTCATACTTACATTACTTTAAGTGTATTTTGATGCCGATACTTGTACTTCTTCTTAAGTCAAATTGATTGCAGGACGTTTACTTGTAACAGAGTATTTTAACAATTTACTACGTCTACTTTTAAGACTCTTCCACCTCTACACGGTGAGAATGAACCAGAAAGACCTCTCTCCTGGACCCTGCTGTGTTCCTCTGTGTCACCAGTGTACCTTCCACCAATCTCTCTGCCCGTAAACTTTCTAAACTTAGCTTCACCTCGGGTTTACAAAACAGAAACCCTGCTGCCAGTCATGCTGTAAATCTTCTACCTTTAGCACCATAAAAAGCCCTGTTCTCAGGTCCTCTATTTATCTTCCCCCCCCCCCCTCCCTCCCCTCCCTCCCCTCCACGATTTCCATCTCTTAGTTTTTGATTCGGATTCACCCCCAGCTTATGTCTTCTGACCCCATAACGTAGCTCTGCACCTTGTTTGGTTTCCCCCACAGTCTCCTCTCCCTTTCTGTCTCTTTTTACTCCCCCCCCCCCACCTCCACCCCCCACCCCTCTTTCTGTCTGTCCATCCCAGGGTTTATCCCCTCATCACTGATCTCCCTTCATCCCTCCAATCCTCATCTGTTCCTCATAGGAGCAGTGGAGAGAGTGTGTGACGGAGGAATATCCCACTGTGTGTGTGTGTGTGTGTGTGTGTGTGACACCAAAAGTGAATGAGCGGGAGAAAGTGTATCACAGGGCGGCTGAACTTATGACAACGAGCAGAGGGGAGACCGCTGGAGGAAAAGTGATTTAAGATCTGCCTAAACACCCCGAGGAGTCTCTTTATCGGTGAGTGGATGCTCCTGTGTTTACATATTTGGTTCCTGGAAGTTGTGTCAAACTGCTCGGATGATGGATCACATGCAAAGGTTGGATAAAAACTGACATTTATCCCCAAGATTTGTTATAATTTAGTAAAAATCCTGAGCTTTTTGACTGACATGGTGATATATCCTTAACCTAAATATAATACAAGTAATACCCCTATAGTTAAAAGATCCTTACAATATCATATACTTGTGATCTTACAGTACGTTTAAAGACATTATCAAATATGGAGATGCCACTCAAATCACATTTAAACGCACTTGAATACTTCGTGTTTATGGCACACAGCAGGGGGATTTACATCGGATCACGGACAACACAGGTTTTGTCGTGTAGATTGATAATCTGTGATAAAAACAAATTCCCTTTGTTGTCTGATTTGTTAATACTGTCCGACATAATCTGCATCATAAAACCGTGCTAGCTTGTTTGTGTGGATGTGTCATGCGTCGTGGAAAATGTAACTTCAGAGGGTTTGAAATGAATGCACTTTATAAAGGAGGGAAGATGGCTTGTTGGTGAAGACTAGGCTCTGGCACTATGGACAAGATTGTGTTATATGTTATTTAATACTGATATGAGTTGTGATATAGTCAAGTTTAGGTCTCATTTTGGTGTATATATTGCTTTGAATAGCGGACAAAAACTACACATTATCACATTGAAGGTTATTATGACATAAAAATCCCATATTATCATAAACAAATCCCGGTTATTGATTGAAAACATTGCTCACAACAGCTGTATACAGTCGTAGATACTTCACAATCAGCTATAACAGTATGAACAATGTGGTTCAATCTTTTTCTAATCAAATGTGTTTTCCATCCATCCATTTTCTACCGCTTATCCGGGGTCAGGTCACAGAGGAAGCAGTGTTTTCATCTCACTTAATATATCATCATACCACCATGGTTTGGTGTGTTAAGCTACATCACAAAATGAATCGATTAAAATATGTTTTAATCAAATTAACGACAGCCATGTTTGAAGATCCTGTTTTGTTGTTGGACCACAAATTAGACAAAGCGCTTTTTGGATAAATGTGCAAGCTGTCTCAAGTTCACAGGCCCGAAAACACTCCACCTTTCACAGGCTGCCATCCTCAAAACTCTCCCTGCGTCGTCCATCTGCCCCCTCCCTCATTCTCATCCCACTATCTCCCCCCTCCCCCCCCCCCCCGCCCCACCATCCCCATCCCTTTCTCCATCTCTTATCCAGATGCAAAGAGCAGTCAGTAATCGGATGAGAGCAGATTTGATTCAAAAGGCTTCCCTTTAAAATCTCAGCCAGTAGGATTTAAAACTCACTCTCCTGCCTCTCGCCTCTTACCCCCCTCCCCCTCCCTCCCTCCCTCCCTCTCTCACCCCTCCTCCCTCCCTCCCTCCCTCCCTTCCTATCCTGTGGCTGTTAATGCACTTCACCATCCAGCAAGCCCTATCTGTCATTTAATCACATGCAACAATGGCAGGGTCCAAGGGACAGAATGGCAAAAGGCTAATAGCACGACTAAAACACTCATTACGACAATCACTATTGAAGGCAGTTCACCATCTGGAACCAAAGGCCTAAACATCCCCTGTTACTGTCTTCAGAGGTGCTACTATAAAAGGCCGTAAATCAGCCCTTTAACTGTATTTAAACACATCCTTTCCAGGCATTACAGATAGATAAAGCATAAAGCCCAGTGGCAAAACAATTAAAGCAAATATCTTTCTCTTCCAGAGTCACTCCCTCCCTCCTTCACTCCCTTCCTCTCCTTTTCACTTCAAACAAATTAGAGGCAAATGCACTTGGTCATGTATTTTGACAGGGACACTCATTCAAATAGTGAAAGACAGAGGGACGCATGTGATAAGATCAACGCGAGTATTTCTTCATATCAAGGTAAGATAAAAGGAAATAGCATAGTGAGAATTAGATCCACACAAGAGGAGGATAAGTCTTGTTTAACACGTGTTGAGATGTTGCTGCTTTTTCATGAAGTTATTGTCCTTTTGTTTCTGTGAAATCAGCTTGTGTGGCTTTGATGACATTGTCCACCCTGTCTGTCCATTAAGGTGATTGCTGCCAAACATTGCTCATTTAATCACGACATTAACCTAATTCGATAGCCGTTATTATATTAAAGTGGGCGCTCGCTGGAGTGTTAAATGTTAGCGCTGTGAATGATGTGTTGAGAAGTTGGAGCTGCTGACATTGTTGTTACAGGACTTACTGGTTTGTGTGTGCATTCAGGGAGAAGTTGTGTGCTCTCCATTGATGTCTCGTCACCTGAAGAGCAAATACTTTGTTAATGTCAAGCTCATATACTCAGTCTGTGTGTGTGTGTGTGTTGTGTGTGTGTGTGTGTGTGTGCAGGATTGCGTGTGTGGGTCCTGCCTGTTTATGAAAGTTTGCAAAGTAGACGAGCGCCAGTTTGACTTGCAAAATAGCGCTCACTTGGAGACTGGAGCTAGGGAGGAATAACAATTGTTCAGGTAGGAGCAGGTACAATTCCAGCATGAAGTATTTCTCTCTTTTTCTTGACAGGAAACACTGCGTCTTATTTTTAGACGGGGATTTCACTGTGACTAATGTCTGTTTTTGTTGTCTTGATTTCAGGATCATCATCTTTCTCTCCCTGTCTCCACTGGTGACCTAACGACCAGCGCCATGGGTGAAATGGAGGAATTGCGAAAGGAGATGGAAAATCTGAAAGACCAGATCACTGTCAGTATACCGAAACATATCGTCTTTGATAAACAATGCAGCTTATTGTTGTCATTACGGGGCTTTGCCTTTCTCTTCGACCTGAATTCATATCTTTAATATCTCTGCGCTGAGTGGACAGAGTGCTTAGATTCTTTAGTTTTGTAAAAGTTGAAATACTATGGTGTTAAAATGCTACATTTTCTGACAAATTCTAATACCTTTTTAACAAATATGTGAGAGGATGTGTGGCTCATTTCACTGACATGTATCGGCATTTTATAAATTCATTAAGAATGATCTAACAGGTCCCTGGAGTAAAAGTACTGGGATCAAAATGTACCTCAAATGGCAAACGTATAAGTACTCGGTTCGCAGAATGGCACATTTTATATATTTTATCATAGGAAATGTTACCGTATCGTAGATAATTGAAATATAGTTTGTCAATGTAGAACCAATAGAAGTGCCGTTCTGCATCATAAAATAAAACGTCAGAAGGACCGTCAATATTATTATTAACAATTTGGCTTATTTCTGTCATTACGTGCCTCTCACTTTGACATGATTTGAAATCTTTAATATCTCGGTGTAGAGGTGGACGTACTGCTTGGATCCTTTACTTAAGTCAAAGTAGAAATATTGTGGTTTTAAGTTACGCCATTACATGTAAAAGTCCAGAAATAAAAAGTTTTGCAAACCAAAGCATTTGAATATAGTTTTGCATGTACTGGCGTTTCAGTGTTGTCATTTGTCATTGGAGCCACTTTATGAATATTGTGTTGACATTATATTGCATTACATGTGTTATGTGTATATATGCACAAAGTAACCAGTAACTATGAGTGTTAAATGTAAATGGAGTGGAGTGAAAAGAAAGATATTTGCCTCTGAAAAGTGGTGGAGTTGCGGTTACAAAGAACTACAACAAATAATTTAAATAAGTGAAGTACAAGTGCCCCAGCATTATACTTAAATACAGTACTTGATTAAATGTACTTAGTTACATCCCACCACTGCTTTTCACAGTTTTTAATTATTAAAGAAAAGTATAATATCCTGTTTGTATCACTAACAAATACATGTAGAAACATTATGTTGTACAAAAAAGTATATTTGTCTCTAAATTTAGTGGAGTGGAAATATATGTTACTTACTTAAAGTTTGTCAAAGTAGAACTTAATTATAGTTTTTAAGTTAATGTGTGTTAAATTATTATTATGATTTTTTTTTCCTTTGTACTGTTTTCTGATTTTATGTAAAGCGTCTTTGAGCATCAGGAAAAGCGCTATACAAATTAAATGTATTATTATTCTTATTATTCTTATTATATACCACTGTCTATGTGTTTTTGCAAACTACTACGACAAAATACTAACCTGTGTGTGTGTGTGTGTGTGTGTGTGTGTGTGTGTGTGTGTGTGTGTGTGTGTGTGTGTGTGTGTGTGTGTGTGTGTGTGCTCCACAGGCAGCTCGTAAGACGTTTCAGGACTCCACGCTGCAGGAGGCGGCGGCCGGCGTCACGGTGGTGGGCCGGGTCCAGCTGAAGACCCGGAAAACTCTGAGGGGTCACCTGGCCAAGATCTACGCCATGCACTGGGGCACCGACTCCACGTAAATACACACACACACACACATTTATTACGAGCCGAGATGGCAAAAGTACACACATCCTTTACTCAAGTAGAAGTACAGATACTCGTGTTTAAAAATACGTTGGTCAAGATAGAAGTACTGACTAAACTTCTTTACTCAAGTAGAAGTAAAGAGGGCTTTGAAATGTACTTCAGTAAAAAGTACCCATAACTAGCAACTGTTTTAAAGAGTACCTGACCTCCCTTTATATTAATAGAACAATAATGTCATTGTTAGCTAATGAATGTTTCCATGCTGAACAACGGCAACATGACAACGTTTTCATTGGTCCCTCTTCTTTAGAGAAGACCAGGAAATGATGGATACACGGATCGTGTTCAAATCAATAGGCACGCAATGACTCTAAATAATAATGATCACGCCACCAAACACACATTCAAACTAAAGGAACCAGCCTGTTTGGAAAATGTGAGAAGTAGAAAGTACAGGTATTTGGGTTCAACATGTAAGAAGTAGAAAGTACAGGTATTTGTGTTCAAAATGTAAGAAGTCAAAGTAAAAGTCGTCAGAAAAATAAGTAGTGGAGTAAAGTACTGATACCAGAAATATTTACTTAAGTACAGTAACGAAGTATTTGTACTCCACTACTTCCCACCTCTGGTTACGAGTGAAGAAGTAACAAAACAGCACAATCGAAATGTCCTGTATCCATCATACTCTTATTAAAAAAGCACATGTTTTATTTTTACAGCCACAATATGATAGGTTTCTACTAATAAATGTTATTTTGGTTGGTAAATTAAATCTGTAAAGTACTTTTAAATGGTGGATTCGAAGTACATGCCTGGTGTAAATGTCTAATTGTCTTCTTTCTCCATCTTTGTTATGATTGTAACGCCAGGCTGTGTGTCAGCGCCTCGCAAGATGGAAAACTCATCGTGTGGGACACCATCACGACCAACAAGGTAGGACAGGGAGAAGGAGAGCTGTAAAATAATCACATACCACGTGAGGCATGTGGAAGAGTTTGCTTTCCTATAACACCTTACATAACATCACCTGAAAGTAAATAAGCACATCAAATAGAAAATATGTATATCAATGTACAGAATACAGAATCACGTATACAGAAAACAGTAAGGAATCTGTATGATAACACAATCTACTACTAAGTCAAAAATATATAACCAAAGGAATACTTAATACTTTATAAAAGTGGGCAAAGTAGTAGTAACATAAACAGATATTTACACATCAACAGCAGACACATATATATCAATAGAATATCTAATTCATTCACAATATCAAAAATACAGACCAATCAGTAAACAGAAAATATATAAAAACAGGACACTTGCTTTTTGAGGTAGTGTGAGTACAATATGTGCAAATCCTTCAGGTACAAGTACAGAAGTATTATCAGCTAAATGTACTTAAAGTTTCTCTTGTAAAATAATTCAGTATGCAGAATGACTCTTTTCATATTATTCTATTATCATAGAATATTATAATTTAATATGTTTACCACTAACCAATGCATGTACGAGCGTTTCAGAGTTTTAATTTGTCAGTGGAGCCACTTTATGAATATTGTGTTGACATCATATTGCATTAAATGTGTTATGTTATATACTACAAATATATAAACATAGAATACTAAATACTTTACAAAAGTGGGTAAAGTAGTAGTATTGTAAACAGTAAATATTTACACATCAACAGCAGACAAATATATATCAATAGTATATCTAAATCATTCACAATATCAAAAATACAGACCAATCTAGTGAACTGAAATACATAAAGACAGGACACTACTTGCTTTTTGAAGTCCTGTGAGTACAATATGTTCCAATCCTTCAGGAAGTTTCCGTGTTTGAAGAGTTCCTGTTTGTCCCCAGATCAGTTCAACTGACAGCAGAAAGTGCGCAGATATTGAAAAGTGCTGATTAAGTTTCATCCTGTTACTAATTTTAAATGTTAATTTCTGCCCACCCCCAAAAACTCTGTGTTATTTTGAGTTCTAAATACAACAAGTATTTATGAATGGGAGCTAATGAGGGGTCGATACATCTGTTTACTAACTCACACAACTCGTGCAGGTGAACGCCATCCCTCTGAAGTCGTCGTGGGTGATGACGTGTGCGTACGCGCCCTCGGGGAACCTGGTGGCGTGCGGCGGTCTGGACAACATGTGCTCCATCTACAACCTGAAGGGCAAAGACGGGAACGTCAAGGTCATGAGGGAGCTGGCGGCGCACACAGGTGGGGAGAAAAAACATGAGAAGACGCTCTTCACTGAGTCTTATCCACTTTTTCTAGAAGTCCATATTTTTATATTATAATTATATATCATTATAAATATGTATATGTGTTCAATTAGTAATCTGCTTTTTATTATTCATTTAATTTGACCCATGCTGTCTTTCACTCACCGTTTTGAATTAATCTTATCTTTCATCGCTTTTATTATAAATATGTATTTGAATTGTTATGTTCTTTTATAATAATTTGTATTAATTTATGAACGCTTCATATTTTTTATTAATTTTGTTATTTACTTATTTATTCTTTTACTTTTTTTATTTTATTTTCTCCTTACTGTCTTTTCATTCGCTCAGTACTTTTGTATTTCACTATATCTCTAATTATAATGATGTATTTGATTTGTAATTAGTATCTGGGCTGTTTTTATAATAATCTGAGGAGGTTGGATTTGCTGGAGCGGGTGGTCCGCAAGGAAGTATGAGGGGTGAGGAGTTCCTTGAGGTAGGGAGGGGCAGTTCCATGGATACACTAGTCGTGCACATGTGTCAAACTCAAGGCCCGGGGGCCAAATCAGGCCCGTGGTGGATTTAATTTCGGCCCGCAGGATAATTCTTAATTACTATTAGATCTGGCCCGCCGGTATATTGCACGCACACCTTCACTCAATCCTGAGGGTTTCCTCAGCTCAGAGCCTGACCCCAAACATTGATGAACTTGCACCCAAGATGAGATGCCAAGTATCTGGCTTGAACTAGCATCACAGAGCAGCACACTGAGTTTTAATGGATGTTTCCTTCTGCACTTTCTTTCTTGAGACAACAGGGCATGTTTGGTTTGTTCTTTGAGGGAAATTGTTTTTTTGAAGCTGTTGGCCTGTGGGAAAATGTAATCATAAGAAATGACTCTGCAGATAGAGCCATAAGAAATGAATGCAACTGATTATTTAATGTTTAATGTTGTTTTTATAGGCAATAGTTTAAGCTGTGTTAGTTCCAGGTTTAATATGGGCAATAAGTTCATTTCAATAAGTTCTGCAATAAACATTGAACCAGTCCGGCCCTCGACTAGTACCCATTTTTTTATTTTGGCCCACTGTGTATTTGAGTTTGACACCCCTGCACTAGTGAGTGAGGAGGGATTTATTTTATATATAATTGTACTTATGTAGGTTATATGTTTCTGTTTTCCTTATTCTTTTCTCCTTACTGTGTTCCATTCACGTTAAAAAAGAAATCCAAATGTTTTAGAATTAAGGAATACAATATGGTGCGTAAATACGTGAGTTTTGTGTTTTGAGCAAAGTACATGTATCGACAAACCAGGTCAATAAATACAAAATAAAAACATATATGTTGTTTCCCCAGGTTACCTGTCCTGCTGTCGCTTCCTGAGCGACACGGAGATCATCACCAGCTCTGGAGACTGCACCTGGTGAGGAGGATTCTGAAAGGGTTGACGTTATGCTCCCGTATTGATTTAATAAACAATATTGCACGTATAATAATATTGTGTCATTAATCCCGGGCCTTTTAAATCTCACTATCCATTAGTGTAATTGTTTTTCCTCAGTTCAGTCTCTATTCTTTCCACCTCCCTACACTCATGGTTACAGTCTGCCCTCTTTCCACCTCCCTACACTCATGGTTACAGTCTCTATTATTTCCACCTCCCTACACTCATGGTTACAGTCTCCCCTCTTTCCACCTCCCTACACTTGTGTTTTAAATGTTGAATTCTACGTACTAAAAACGAAGCAATATCATTATTGTGATTTATTTTTGCATTTTAATTCATTTCTTTGGGTCACAAACAGTTAAAGTACACATAAGACATAATGGAGATATCTAAACATGACACCCTGATTAACTATCCAAAGCTTATTAAAAGGGGCCCACACACTACAATATGTGTATATGTATATTAACACATTAACACAGCTAGAATTGGAGAGAGTTTAGTGTTATATAGACACATTACAAGATAAAAGAAAAAACAAATACCCTGAAACTAATTTACCTTTGACTAGTAATAATCCAAACACATTTAATCAGTCTAAACATTGATTTAAAATAGGTACGATACAATAAACAGACACATTGAAAGGGAAAATGAAGCCACAAATTACACAAACTCTCTCTATATATATATATCTATTCAATTTGTATATATTGACTTTTTATGTTGAATTTATTTTTAACTCATGTGTAATTTTGGATACATAAAAGTATATAGAATCTGATCTAAATGCAAGTCTGGAGCTCCTCCAAAGAGTACAACATACAATGCTCTTAAGACATAAGAAAAACAAATACAAAATATGGTGGAATAATGCTGCAAGAGTATGTTATTAAAACAATTCCCAGCCATTTAGTGTATCTAAGCTCTGACATAGTTTTACAACAACTGACAAATAAGCTATTTTGTTATAATCTAGTAAAGAAACGTTCTATATGGTGTCAGCCTTATAGTTTTAGTAACCAAACAAAAAACATGCTGCAACTTATCTCAGAATCAGAATACCGGTATCAGTCCCACAAAGGGGACATGTACATTGTTACAGCAGAAAAGAGCTTGATGTTACCTAAGAAGCATGCATAAAGTCAATATAAGGAAACTACTCAGTGGTGATTAGGAGCTGCTGTAACCACCGGAAGCTTTCTCTCTCTCATCAAAACATAAGAGTAACCTTTGTGCGTCTCCTTGCAGCGTACTGTGGGACATTGAGACAGGGACCCAGAAGACGGTGTTCGCGGGACATCAGGGCGACGCCATGTCTCTGGGCGTGTCTCCAGACTTCAAGTTCTTCATCTCAGGAGCGTGCGACTTCACGGCCAAACTGTGGGACATCAGAGAGGCTGAGTGCAGACAGACCTTCGGAGGCCATGAGAGCGACATCAACGCTATCGGGGTGAGGAGGATTTACACGTTACATCACTCGTGCATTTCATTTAGCTCAGGCTGTTAAACAAAGGGACTAAGTGCAATCAACCGTGAGGAGAGACAATCAGATGAAACCTCACTTTTTTGTTGCTCAAAAGAGGCTCAGGATATGCTCTGAGGTTGAGTCTTTACTGCATTGGAGCGGGGTTCAAATCCAACCTGTGACTTTGCATCTTGTCATCCACAATGTCCCCCTTTAAAATATCTCCGTCTAATTTATAACAAAGGCGAAATGGCCACAAAATAAGAGATAAGATATTCTTTTGGTTTGTTGGTGTGTTCGTCAGCAGGAAAACAGAAACACTTTTTAAATATACTTTTAATTTATTGACTTAGTTTGTCTGCTTTGATCAAAGTAGCTCTAAGCCTTTAAAGTGGACCTATCATGCTATATTTGAATAATATAGTGTAGGACCATATTTTTTTCAAAATACCAAACGGATCATGCATTTTAGCCATGCCTCATTTTGCTCAATTTGACAATTTATAGCTCTGTTTGTGCAGGGGCAGATTCAGTGAGAACAGCACCATCTACTGGCCTGGCATATGTACTACAGCGTCTCCAGCGCTTTCGAACGGCAATGACCGTGGCGGTATCCTCCTGATTGGTGGAGTTGGCCCAATAGCCGTAGCGCCACCGTCCTGACGTCAGGACAGTGTTCAAATCTGGATCAGTTTTTATCAGATCCGTTGCAGCCCCTTTTTTAGAGATTTGGGTATGGAGGAAAATAGAGAGGGTTGTGTTTTCTGACACTTGGTGAGTTCCCTGGAACACCGGGGACACATATTCATGTATAAAAGACGTACAAAAGTGCATTTTGCATGATAGGTCCCCTTTAAATAAAACAAGACAAAGAAACAGGCCTTATTGAATGCTTTAAATCCAAAAGCTTTTTTCTGTGAACCAAAAAAAACCATGTACGTATAAATAAAGAAATAATAAAGAAATCAATTCAATACAAACATATTATAAAATAATATTAAGGCTTATAATAAAGCAAAAAGAAAACACTAACATATTTATGGTTAGAGCAGATATGTGTATTATCTTTCACTACACTGTCCTCCACTCTCTAACCCTTTGTGTAAATGTCCCGTCTGTGGGACGAATAAAGGTATTGTAGGTGACACATGCTACTTAGCCTGAGTCCATTATTTGTATTATTATTATTTGTTTACGTCACTTTTATTTGTGTTTGTTGAGCACTTCCGGCAATCGTCACATGGTCGTGGTTTGTGTATTTAGGTCACCTGTTTCATGTCGGGTGCGGACGACAGAGGGTGAGCTTGTGCTGACGTTGTTTCTGTTGACCGTCTTTGTCCCCTACTCTGTTTTTTAAATATCGTCAAACTATCTTACTTCAGTATGGACTTTCTCATTGAAAACACGTCGCAGCATACAGCCAAGCTTAGCCTCTCTGCGACATAAACTGAACTGGAAATTGAGCCGCCACACGTATTCTGATCTGATTCTTCTCTCCCCCAGTTCTTCCCCAATGGTAACGCGGTGATCACGGGCTCGGACGACGCCACCTGCAAGCTGTACGACCTGCGGGCCGACCAGGAGCTGCTCACCTACCAGGACTCCAGCATCATGTGCGGGGTCACCTCCCTCGCCCCCTCCAAGTCAGGACGCCTGCTGCTGGCCGGGCACGACGACTTCAACGTCAACATCTGGGACATGCTGAAGGCCGAGAGAGTGGGTGAGTACAGGGAGGAAAACAGGGAGGAAAACAGAGAGGGTAACGTGGGGGCTGTGGCTCAGGGGGGAGGGTGTATACCAATTAGAGGGTTAGAGGGGGGAAGTAGTGGAGTACAAATACTTCGTTACTGTACTTAAGCACATTTTTCTGGTATCAGTACTTTACTCCACTACTTATTTTTCTGATGACTTTTTACTTTCTACTTGTTACATTTTGAACACAAATACCTGTACTTTCTACTTCTTACATTTTGAACACAAATACCTGTACTTTCTACTTCTTACATTTTGAACACAAATACCTGTACTTTCTACTTCTTACATTTTGAACACAAATACCTGTACTTTCTACTTCTTACATTTTGAACACAAATACCTGTACTTTCTACTTCTTACATGTTGAACACAAATTCCTGTACTTTCTACTTCTTACATTTTGAACACTAATACCTGTACTTTCTACTTCTTACATTTTGAACACAAATACCTGTACTTTCTACTTCTTACATTTTGAACACAAATACCTGTACTTTCTACTTCTTACATGTTGAACACAAATACCTGTACTTTCTACTTCTTACATGTTGAACACAAATACCTGTACTTTCTACTTCTTACATTTTCCAAACAGGCTGGTTCCTTTAGTTTGAATGTGTGTTTGGTGGCCTGATCATTATTATTTAGAGTCATTGCGTGCCTATTGATTTGAACACGATCCGTGTATCCATCATTTCCTGGTCTTCTCTAAAGAATAATATAATATTTAATATAAAGGGAGGTCAGGTACTCTTTAAAACAGCTGCTAGTTATGGGTTCTTTTTACTGAAGTACATTTCAAAGCCCTCTTTACTTTTACTTGAGTAAAGAAGTTTAGTCAGTACTTCTACTTTTACCAGAGTATTTTTAAACACGAGTATCTGTACTTCTACTTGAGTAAAGGATGTGTGTACTTGTGCCATCTGATAATACCCAGTGTTCAGGTAGCAATATGTGACATGTAATCAGGATGATGTGATCAGATTACAACTAATAAGTAGCTATAATGAACCCAGAATACTTTTGACAAATGTGCAGTTAGATTATATTTACATTTTGAAGGGGGGTGCTTGATAATATGTTTGATTATGTTTTAGAAATATGGAAATATTACACTTTTTTCATGATAATTAAGGCGTTTAACTCGTGAAATACTGGATACATTTTATTCGTTTACCTGTTTTGAAATGTTTAAAGAGATACAATTGTGGCTTCATACATTCTTTTTGTATAAAGTCCAATATTTTCAATCTTTAATGTTGAGTTAATCCAAAACTATTGACATACTGTATTGATAATCCAATAGATGATATTACAAATACAAAAGTGCTATGTTATTCTGTTCACTCAGTAACTCACTGGATCAGGAAACATAATACTGCAATACTCAGGTGTACTGACGTTCCCCCCCCCCGTAGGAGTGCTGGCGGGTCACGACAACAGGGTGAGCTGCATCGGGGTCTCCACAGACGGGATGGCGTGTTGCACAGGGTCCTGGGACAGCTTCCTGAAGATCTGGAACTGAGGCTCCTCTTCATCGAGCAGAGAGAGGAAGAGCAGGCCCGGGAGAGAGGGAAGAAGATTTAAAAAGAAAGAAAAGGAAATTGGAGTTTGAGGGAGAAGAGGGTATTTCAATTGTGCCAAGTCCTATCTAACGTTGGAGAAGGGGAGTAATGTGAAGATGTCTCTCACCTGGGGGGGGGGGGGTTTAGGGGGTCTCAGTAAAACATCATTCCTCTTTAATTAATAGCTTATTATATCGCGGTTTAAATAAACATATGCACATTTATCGCAGCGTTTCACCCGATGAGAACAGTTGCCAAATGGAAATGGTAGCACACTGGAAGCGATGGAGGAGTCCAGTTTCAGCCTGTTAGGGTTCACTAGCTCAGCGTATATGCTGTGTTTTATATCAAAGCATAAGTTATGTCATGAATTATAGGAGAATTGTTGTGTCAGATTGTTGTTTGTTCCTAGTTTTCCCCCCCTAGATGCTTACATTTACTTCCTTTTTCTTACTTTAATTAAAACTCTAGTTTGCAGTAGTGTTTGAGTTGTTTTGTATGTGATTGAGTGACAATATTTACCAGGATTTGAGGTCTTTATCACTTAGACCTAACCCCCCCTCCCCTTGTAGCTAGACCTGAAAAGTGCTTTGGGATAATGACATGTTTTCACGGTTCACTAAGCACTTAGAAGAAAAAAAAAGATGACCCCGTTTGTCTCAGGCCAGGAGGACTTTGCGTATGAGTGGATGATGAAGGCTATTGTGTGAGAAATAAATCTGTATGTGAACGCTTACTTTTTCCTCTGCGTGGTACACTTCAACGATGTACAAACAGAAAAAATATCCACGGCCCGACTCGAGTTCGGACCGCCTCTTTTCCAACGCTGGATACACGATAAAGTAAAGCAATACTACCTTTCTTAATGACTGTCTAATAAACATGGGATTCTGCATTACTCACGTCTTCTGTTTATTTTCTTATCGCGGCCTTCTGTTAGTTATTAGTTCACAATACCCAGAGACACAGATCAATTAGAATCTTTGTGTCGGAAACTATAATTGGACTGTGTCTGGATTGTTAGGCTGTTTTGTTTTATGTATGTAGAAAGTACATTTACTCAAGTATTTAACTTAAAGGGGACCTATCATGCAAAATGCACTTTTTGATGTCTTTTATACATAAATATGTGTCCCCGGTGTGTCAGGGAACTCACGCAGCGTCAGAAAATAAAACCCTCTCTCTTTTCCTCCGTACCCAAATCTCTAAAAACGGGGCTACAACGGAGCTGATCCAGATTTGCGTCCGATATGACGTAATATCTGAAATGTGGACCCACGGCCCGATCAGAAAGTTGCTATCAGAAACAATGCCCGACTGTTTTGGACGTGATATGGTCGGTGTTTACATTAGCATCGCTAACACTCAGAGCTAACCTGTACTGGAGAGCATGTGTGTGAAGAAGCAGGAAATCAAAAGGAACTCACCTTGTGGTATAACCGGCAAGAGAGAAAGCCTTTGAGCTCCATACTGTTTCAGAGATAATCCTTGATAATCCATGATATGGAGTTTCATCACCGCAGTATGTAGTTTAGACAGTAGCTGCCGGGTCCCGCATGAGCTCAGCCCCCCTCCCTTTTTTATTTTTTAAAGCTTTATACCCCAAATCAGCACTTTTGAAACAGGAAGTGAAATAGAGGGATATGAGGCATGGCTAGAATGGGTGATCTGTTTGGTATTTTGAGCAAAACACTTCATAGACATGTTTTTTATATATTTATTGTATATATATCTGAGACCTATGCTATTGCCTAAAAATAGCATGATGGGTGACCTTTAAGAACGATTTTGGGGTACTTGTACTTTACTTGTGTATTTTTATTGTATGCTTCTCCTTACTGTACTTCTAATCTGCTACACTTTGAAAGCCAATATTGTACCGTTTACTCCAAACTAAATAAATTACTAGATACTTCACAGATTCAGATTATCTAATACGAAATGTAAATAAACTAAGAAACAAAGTATGGTTAAAATGTCTAGTTGAAGTATGTAACCACTTTTTAGCAATAACATATTATTCTGAAATGGGACCTGACGCACAAGTACTTAATTATATTTTGATGCCAATACTTGTGTACTTTCACTTAAATGAACTGAAGTATTTCTACTTTTACCTAATTAAAATCTGTGAGCGATGTAATATTTAATTCACATGCACCCTGTAGTTTTCATTAATGAAGCTTTATTACAAAAATGTGTATTGATAGAGATGAAGAGGCGTAAACAATGGGTTGAAAACCAAGAGTTGGGTCATTTTTATGAGGAAGTTTATTGAATGAATGTTTAGATAAACACAAAACAACATACAAAGATTAAAAACTTAGGTAAGAAGAGAAATAATTGCATTTTCATTTACAAGAGGACAAACAGGAAACAAAGCTGCAGTAGTAAAAAGTAATATACACAAGGGGAAAGTTTAAGAAAGCTGTACACATAAAAAAAGCTTATTTTAAAAAGAGGATTCTGTCCACGTCTCGCAGTGAATCATCGGTTCTCCTTATCCAGAGACACGGCCAGCGCTCTGCGGTCCATCGCTCCCAGCCTGGGCTTATCAGGAGTGGACACCTTCAGCTTCATCTGAGGGAGCGGGGGACACGTTATCTCTCTGATTTACTCTGTGCTGCAGTAACGACAGCTAAATTAATCACCATCACCCTAAAAAGTCAATATAAGTTCAGATAAAGTTTTTTAAAAAAGAGAGTAAGAACTGCAAAGGTGGAAGAAGTACGCAGATGTTTTTACTTTTAATAAAAAAGTGGCAAGCTACACATTTAAAAATACTCGGGTAAAAATAGCAGCAACATATAAAATCATGCAGAACCGCCCATTTCAGAATCAGATGTATTAAATAATTGTATTATAATGATCGATGCATTTATGTTTTTATTCATTTCAGTGCTGCACTTGGTAAAAAAAAAAATGCAGCATTTTACTTTATATACTGCCGGACAGCTTGACCTATAATAATACACAATTACATGTTGAAATGTATTTAAATGAAATGTTATAATGTGTTTGTTGCACTGAATCTTAATATTTGTAATAAAACACTTTGAATTGCCTTGCGTTGAAATGTGCTAAATAAACAAACTTAATTTAATTATAGTGGAGTAGTATAACGTAGCATCAAAAAGAAATACTCAAGTGAAGTTCAAGAGCCTTGAAACTACTTAAGTACAGTAAGTAAATGTACTTTTCTCCACTAAATGAAATACCTGAGATTGCTGTTCCCTTGGAGAGTTTGTTCCCTTAAGCCTCTGCAGCGGGGAGCGGCCTTCAGTACCTTTGAAACAAAATGGAAATGTCAAGCAACTAAATATAATATTCCTTACAGTACAAGTGATGAACAGAAAGAGTCTCCACACACCTTTCTGCTTCAGTTTCCCGGACAGCCTCTTGTTCTCGCTGTTAGCGTTCTTCACGGCGACCCGCACAGCGAGAGGAGAGGAGCCCCCCTTCCCGCTGTGAACTCTCCGAGCTCTTATCCCGGTTGCCCCGAATCCTTTTCCCAACCATTGGGGCTTGAACACCACCTGACTGGGGCTCTTGGCGTCGAAGCTGGGGCAGCGGATCCCGGATCTGGAGACGGTCGGGGGCTCTGGTGCAGGAGAGGAAGACGACGATTCTTCAACAGGAGCTTTGATGTCTGCCTCCTCTGTGTCCTGAGCTTTGGTTTCTGTCTCCTCTGTGTCCTGAGCTTTAGTTTCTGCCTCCTCTGTCTCCTGAGCTTTGGTTTCTGTCTCCTCTGTCTCCTGAGCTTTGGTTTCTGTCTCCTCTGTCTCCTGAGCTCTGGTTTCTGTCTCCTGAGCTTTGGTTTCTGTCTCCTCCGTCTCCTGTGCTGGGGAAGCCTCTGAATCAGCGGCGAAGGAGGGCTCGACGGGGGTCTCTGGTTCAACAGTCATTGTAGGTAGGTCATAGGTATGATCAACGTGGTCCTCGAGGGTCTCCACGTCCGCACTCATCCTTGGAGATGAAGCCCCGTCACAGTGCACGTCAGCGAAGATCTGGGCGGATGTTTCCCCCTCATGGTAGGTGATCAGGCTCATGCTCATCCTCTTGTGAAGCGGAGTCTCTCTGGCTTCCTCGGCCTCCTCCAGGCTAAGGTCCGTCTCCGTTTCCAGCTCCACGTCTACCTCCTGGGGGTTCTGCAGGAGCACAAAGGGGCTCAGGTCACCCTTACTCTGGAGGGGGGTCACCAGGAGGTTAGCGTGTTCAGCCAGAGAGTTGTAGGTGTGTGAGGGCTGGTGTGACAGGAGGGGCACGGTGGACGCCAGCTCCTCTTCACCCTTAAAACTGTCCTCCTCCGCTTCCTCCTCCACGGCGTCATTGAAGCATTTGGGAGGCGCTTCAGGGACTTTGCCCTCTGACTCGTTGTGCAAAAGCAAGCCCAGGCGGCGGGCGAAGGACCCAACTGTGGCTGTTAGGGGGAAATGAAGGAACGATGTTACAGGACTGCAGATGGAAATGAGCTATTGGCTATAATCTGGCATAATTCATATTTTCTCTTCTCTGAGATTAATGTATTTGTATGCATGGTCCTTGTTGAAATAAATACATAATAATAACAGGACAATTTGCACGTGGGAAAAGCCAAGCTAGAAGTTATTCTTCAACAAATATATGATAAGATTTACTTAATTTATCCTGACTTGGGGATTTTTCATCACAGTAACATTAAAACAAAGCAATGTGGAAATGATAGAGCAGAAAACAAACAAATAAAGTATAAATAAAACGTGATAATATACATATCGACAGTGAACGACACAAACCTGTAAACTTTCTCTCAACTATACACTATGAAGGGCCAATTTACAGCTAACAAAATGTTTATTATCTGTTTTATTGTGTTTCACTGTTGGGGAGCCTGTGACCTAAGATTGTCATTGTCATAACTACACTGTAGCTATGTACAAATGAGAATAAAAGCCTTGAACCTTGAACCTAAAGGAGGATATTAGTAAATATATTCTTACAGCTCAGGACTTCTCTGGCGGGGGTGCGGCTGATGTCGATAGACGGTGAGCGGGGGTCTGTGAACGCCAGTGGACACTCGGTTTTGGACACAGCAACCTAGGAGAAACATTAGCTATGGTTAACCTGTGTTTAAATGTTTCTCCCTGCAGTAGATCACAGTATGTCTGGTAACCTACCTGGATGGGGGTACGATCGAGGGCTGTTGGAGAGCGTGGGTCCATCAGATCACTGACTCGGCTGTTTTTGATCGCTGGTTCTGGTTTTATTGGTGCACAAACCACCATCTTGCTCTCACTGGATCCCATGATGCTTAGTTAGTGTTATCTGGATCAAGTTAATGGGACAGAATACAGTTTAATTGTCTACCAGAGCAAAAATAATAGTACAGAAAAACAGTAGGGTAGTACTCTGCCCTACTGACTATTAATTAACGTTAACCTTGATTTAACCTTAGACGTACAGCAATACATCACATCGTTTTTAACTTTAAATATCTCGTTTACATGCGTGCATTACTACTTCAATGTAACAATTGAAACCCCTTATATATCATCAAGCAGTTAGCTGAAAATGAGAGAACTTGCTAGCAAATAAACAACAGGCTAGCTTAGCTAAAGTCAGTTAGCTTGAAGTTTCCGCATTTAAATCGGATATTAACTTAACAATGTTAATGTTGTGGTAGTAACCCGAGTTGAATACATTGCATATACTTTCTCTTACTTCAACCGAGGTGTACAGTATTACATATTTTATCTGGCTTACCTTAAAAGAGACGAAGAAAGTCGATCAGGCGTGTTGCTTTCACTTATTCCACAGAAGAGATGATAGCAGGCGGAGGAAACACAGGGCTTTTAAAACATTTAAATGGAGCGGCTGCGTGCATGTTATTTTCAAACGGACCAATCAGCATGAGCGTGCCCTCACGTCCGCAGCGCTGATTCGCTAAGAGCAGCGTTCTAGAACGGGGCGTGGTCTCCTACAGATAACGCATTTGAAATTTGAAAAGAATGCAGCTTTGTTTTTGTCACGTGGCGAGAGAAAATGAGAAGTCACTCCTGACAAAATGCATCTCATCAGGAAGTGCCTCAAAAGTGATACTTTTATAAGGGAAATCAGAGACACAATACTTTACACATATGTATATCTATTTTAAATACGTTTATTTGTATATAAATACTCTTTGTACTACTATTTAGAAATATATATATATTTAAAAAATGAAAAAAAGTAAATCTGTTTAATTAAACCGAAGAATGACTATCAAAACATATTTAACTTAAAACATAAATGTGTTTTATTCATGTCACTATATATATATACCGTAAAACAATTGTGATTAATATTATTTTTTACTTTTTTTCCGGCTCTCCATACTTTTATTGTCCGCCATTTTGTTCATTGACCCAGAAATAAATAATCTACAAACGTCTGGGAATCAAAGCTTTATTGCTGAATATTATATTAAACATTGCAGTCAGGATACAACTTGCCTGAACACAATTATAGTGCAACAATTATGTTACAATACACAATATGGCAGAGAGCATTATCTTACAACGAAGCAAATTGTTTTACAAGAGCGTTATGAAAAAGAGCAAGAGAAGGGAGGAGCCCAGAGAAACCGTTCTCAATGATATTACAATTACATGACCGTATCATCAGATGCACTATTAATGCACACACACACATACTCTACATTCTCTCACACACACACAATCATAACAGTAACAGTCCCGCTGGTTGTCAGTTCGATATCCTGGTTGATAATTGATTACTACAAAATTAAATAAAATACAAAAAAAGAATGACAAACAAGCTGCTGCAGCATCGGATTAGTGTTTGAACTCTGAGCCTATTCCTTCTCTTGGGAGCACTTTTGTTAAAAAAAAGCAGTACTCTTTTTGATGTCACAGCAACATTGTACATTTAATTACAAAACTGTAGAGAGTTTACAGTTCGATCTACAGCCTACTGTGGAGGGAGAGAGCATAGAGAGTCATGATGAACATTACCGGACACACTGAGAGCTGCAGGAATGACGTAGCATAAACTTAGCATCGCACTGTGTCAATAACAACAACAACTCAATGGGATTTGTGCAGAACATAAGCTCTATGGCAAAGAAAGGTTTTTGAGATTTGGACACTTTTTGAAGTGTGAATGCAATCAGTTGAATTAAAAAGCCAATGTTAGGATAAAAACAAACTACACAACAGTCGCATGATTCCAAAGAGTAGCTGGGTCGTCCGATGTTTGGTGTGAAGATGTTTAATGTGAAGATGTTTAATATCCCAAGCAACCTCTGTAGTTACATTCAGCCCCTTGTTAGCAATCGCCTTTTTTTAAGACATGTTGAAGCTTCAAAGTGGGGTATTACTGACTTATTTTACGTCATAGCACAACATGAGAACACCTCTTAAGCTTGTGTTAACCACAGACCTTATTTCAGCCATCAAAACCAAAAGCCTTTTAAACAAAACACTGACTTCAAGAGAAGGAAGAGCAAAGAAACTGATGTCGGATGTCTCCTTCCTGCAGCACTCATGATTTTCTTTCTTCATTGAGAACACAATTGAAATTAACAACAAAAGTGACATTAAATCAAACCCATTTCTTCGGATCAACAGAGTCAGAGGAAATGTGCGGACGGTCCAACATGTTTAACACAGTTTGTAGTTCATCTGGCTGTGTCTTCCAGACTAATACTGCAATGTTTTTGAAGTCATTTAAGAGCACATGAAACCACGAGCGACTGTCTCCAGGATGATTCACAGTGTCTCCCTCGTCCATCTCTCTGTCACCGCTCCTCTGCTCTTCATTCAGTCTCCCAGACATTTCCCTCCCAGCGAGACGCACTCACACTCGATGTGGCTTCATTCTGTCCCCCCCTCCACCTCCCTCTGGTAGAAGTGAGCGAGCAACGTGTCTAAGTCTCGTCGGTCGGCGGCAGCGTACAGAGGGCTCTCTCCCATCATGCTGAGCGCCATGCGCAGCGTGGACCAGATGTTGTCGGACATCATGGTGGCGGCGGCGCCCCCGGGACCCCGCGCTGCCCTCGCTCCGTCCACTGAGGCCTGGCGCTGCAGAGACAGAGCCTCCAGGAAGTGCTCCACCGCCTCTCTGAGGAAACAGGAGGGAGACAGCAGGACAGGATGAGTAACGGCTACTGTTACTGTAGTTTCTGATAATAGAGAGGCGAAGTCCCTCCCTTTCCGGGGGAGCTCCATGAGACCTTATTTCGGAAAAAGTATGTATGGAAGTCAATGGGGAGAGAAAGATTATCTCTCGATCCCGTTTGAATTGTGCCACGAATTACACATATGATGTTTGTCAATTTAAAAGATCATTCTGCAAGTCAAAAAAATAAAAATGTGTCGTAAAACTGTGAAGTAACACTTTTTTTTGTGTGAAACCACTCAATGAACTACATCTCCCGTCTCGCACCACACACCAAGACGGCCGTCACGTTGGCACATTTCACTTCTTTCTTTCAGAATGAGGCGGAAAGTATTAAAAGAGGTGAAAATCACTCCAAGTCTGGGCATGTTGAGAGCTGTACATACACACAAGGGGAGTTAGTCGGTTCATAAGAGCCAGCATGCGGGACCGGGACTCTGGGATTTGTAGTCTTTCTAGTTGCGTATTTTTCATAGTCTTATATTTCAACAGTTTTACGACAAACTGTGACTTTTTTGACATGGAAATGATTTTTTAAGATTGACAAACATCATATGTGTAATTCGTGGCACAATTCAAACGGGATCGAAAGATAATCTTTCTCTCCCCATTGACTTCAATACATAATTTTACCGAAATAAGGTCCCATGGGTCAGAAGTAGATGGGCGGGACTTCGCCTCTCTATATCAATGAAAATCTGAGGTCACAGGCTCCTCCAACAGTGCAACACAATAAAACAGATAAAATAGTGCAAGTAAATACAAATCAAATAGAATAGAAATAGTGCAAGGAGAGTCTATATACAAGACATTGGAACATGATATATTGGATAAATAATTTGTAAGTTGCAGACCGATGAATGTTTTGGATGTCATTTCAAAAGTTCAGGTGTTTAACTCAATAACACACCACTAATCGTGATATCTGTTTCAACAGTTACTTTATTTCTTTCATTTCTGTATTATTAGTTTTGTATATTATCTTAATTTTTTACCTATTTGAATCCTGTTTTTTCACTCTGACCCTGTTGCTGCTATAAACGCCTGAATTTCCCCACGGGGAGAAATAAAGCTCCATCTTATCTTATCTTATTACATCACCATTGCTAAGGAGGATCTGGTGTATAGATGGAGTGGAAATATTAGAAACACCAGCTTTCATTGTAACACAGTATCATAAAGTGCAGCCTGTGAAATGATCATAAAGTCAAACCCTGACTTATCTGATGTATTAAACTGTGTTGTTTTTCACTACCTAATAAACTGGCGACTTACATATTAGCTGTTGCCATGTAGTGACATTAAAAGGATTGCACCAGGGTTTGTTACGCAATATTATAACAGATAGAACAAGAGAGCCCAATCAAATCAAATTAAAAGTCACACAGAGACACTTGATGGTAATACATTTAAAACTAACATGATGTTTTCCTAGTAGAAAGTGATTTTGTTCAACCATTTTTTCTAACACTGGCGCTATGCAGAAACTGTCTTTTGTCAAATAATGAAACCCACGTCAAATTATAGAATGCCGGTGCCTTGCTCAAGGGCACCACGGCAGGGAAAGGAGGTGAACTGGGACCTCTCCAAGTAGAAGTCCACACTCCATATTTAGGTCTGGTCGGGGACTTGAACCGGCAACCCTACAGCTCCCTGTCCAAGCCCCTACTGACTGAGCCACTGCCGGACATCAACTCATGTTTGGATTACATTTCGTTTTAGTTTTCTCCGTGTACTTGTATAATCATTACAGAAAAGGATTCCCACACTTCATACCACAGCAGAGAATAGATATATATTCACCAAGTGTTCTTTTGTAGTCTGAAAGGAGTGTAAATCATTCATGGATTCAGTTTAATGTAACACTATACTATACTACTACTGATTTCTCTTTTTGTATTACTGCCGAATTGTATTCCATATTTTATTCCATTCGATTTCTATGTAAATACTGCTATATTTTACTCTATTTTTTATTATTTGTAATATTTTTTAATGTTAATATTATAGTTTTCTATCTGTGTTTTTTTTCTTTTTAAATTCTACTTTTATGTATGCACCACGACATCAAGTCAAATTCCTCGTACGTGTCAACCTACCTGGTGATAAACCTGTTTCTGATTCTGACCAAGCAGTTAAATGAATAAAACTACTTTTTAAAGCTAAAATCAGACACATTTTTGGTTAAATTAACCCTTTTTGAAGCAAAAGACGCATCAAAACTCACCTTTTCACTCTTGCCTTCGACTCCTAATCCACTAACCCCTCGCCCTTATTCCACCTAGCTTAGCACTTATTACTTTTGTTGTTATTTTGTTTCTACTTTACTTGCTTGTAAAGCGCTTTGAGCACCAGGAAAAGCGCTTTATAAATCAAATGTATTATTATTATCATTATTATCTACAACCCAGAGCCTTCCTCCCTCACCTGTGTGCCCCCAGGTTGACGCAGCTGATTCCCAGGTTGTATCGACTGCGGATGAACCCTGGCTGCAGCTCCAGAGCTCTCCTGTAGGCGGCCACAGCTTCCTCTGAGCGGCTGCCGTTAGCCAGCGTGGCGCCCAACTTATTCCACAACAGGTAGTCCTAAAGGAGACGAAAAGAGAGGTCAGAAACAGGCAGAGCATGCAGCATGAGGTCAAGGGTAGGGTATGGATCCTAATCATTCAGGTTAGGATTTTCATATCGCTTATCAATTTCGGTTCTTATTGGTTCTTTGATGCGGTCCAAACAAACCTATTTATGAAAATCTCTTCTTAAAGGTAGGGTAGGTAAGAATGGAGAAACCAGCTCGAGTGCGCTAGAATTTGAAAATACACAACCGGAAAAAATCTGCCCCTTCCTTCAGACTTCCTTACAGAGCCCCTCCTCCAACACACACGAACGCGCACATGACCAATGAGGGCACGAGATAAGTTTGTGCACAGATGGAAGGCTGACAGGCAGGTAGGCCATCCAGTTATTTTAGCCGGGCCGGCTCAGATGATTGATCGTGCTTTTTACAGTATTACGGCTTCCACAGATGACATTTTTTTAAGTATTTATTGTCAAAGCATTTAATTTATTCATTGCTATCGGGATGTTAAGAGCATTCCATGGAATATAACAACAAGTGTTTCTGAAGTGAATTACCTACCCCACCTTTAATTCTATATTCATATTCACAATTCACTTATGAAACTTGTAAAATAACTGCATCCCGTTATATTATATTTAGAAATATGCAATATCATTCTGTGGATTACCTTCTTTGTTATACAAGAAGCAGCTATTAGAGACAAACCGAACACGTGTTGCTGGTTGTTCATGTAATCAGTAACCAATCCTAACGAGGACCGACGTTAGATATCTCAGCTCCGGCTTCTTCACTGACCTGTGGGGTGACAGAGAGAGCGGCGCTGAAACAGTCCACCGCCTTATCGTACTCCCCGCTGAGGTTGAAGAGGACTCCGAGTCCACACTGCAGCTGCGGGTCAACCTGAGCCGGGTCGGAGTTCGCTGCGTGCAGGAAGAGCGACTGGACGTCAGCAAACAGGGATCTGTGCGGGGAAAAAAGAAGGAGAAATGCAAAGACTTAGAAGACGTTAACACACTATATATCTCTACATCTAAACTTTAAAGAAGACAGAGTGTCGGTGGCACTTTGAAGCAGCAACCAAACGCTGACGTATGCACAACAGGTGATTCATTTTACCGTCTGTGTACCGCTGCACTGCTGCTGGTTTAAACAAAGACAGTCATGATGCTCGTGCCGTGCATGTAGGTTCTCTTTTATTTATCAGCAGCAGATCAATAAGTGTCAGTAGTATCAAAACAATATAATAACAGTGGCAATATATATATATATATAATAATAATAATAATAGGTAGGCTCAGCAGCAGACACACCTTAGTGCAAAATTAGGTGTCAGTATTAATAACAGTGGCATTTGTCTCTTCATAACCGTTTCCACTGTATGTTATACACGCGTTTTGTAAATATATATATATATATATATATATATATATATATATATATATGGATAGTTGCCGGTCTTTAAAAAACAAGTTAAAAAGGCGCGTACAGGGGGAAAGGGCATTAATGTCCAATATGTCACATGCCATTCCTTTAATACATATATGACAAAGATTTTATGCCACCAGAGGTCACAACAACAAGAAAATACATAGTTTGGTGAAGTTGAGAATTAAAGTGGAATCATGGGAGTTGTTGTCTTCTACACTATTTCCATCATTGCAGTCAGCTTTTCCCTGTAAGGATAACTTTGAGTTCATTGTGTAGGAGGTTTTCACTGGGAGCCAAATGATCTGCAGAGGGGTCTTTCCTCTCCAACACATACGGATCCGGTGATTAAGACAAATGTTTTTTGTAACTTGCTACTCTGCTAACTCCAGATCCAGATGTCCTGTGACTAAAATCCTCTATCTGGTGAAGCTATAAACAAACAAGAAATAAAAATACTTTTGTAAAAAATGTGGCTTAAAACTGGAAACAAACTCACTATGACAGCTTCTAGCTCTAGTTCGTATGTGCAAACGGAATACCAGATGATGGTGCCATTAGAAATAAATGTGTAATAAATGTGCCGTTACTTAATCAAAGTTACGGCACATTTAGACATCTCTAGACATTTTGGGATAATGTCAGTATACAATTCAACATGAATCCAAACAACATAAAACACATGTCTAGTTGACTTTAGGTATTTTAATGCGGGAAAGTTGTGTGTTTAGTACAATTTATGACACAGTTTTTACTGGATCAGCAAGTTAAAAGGTAGGGTAGGTAGAAACCAGCTCGAGTGCGCTAGAATTTGAAAGTACGCAGCCGAAAAAAATCTGCCACTTCCTTACAGAGCCCCTCCTCCAACACACACGAACGAGCACATGACCAATGAGGGCACGAGATAAGTTTGTGCACAGATGGAAGGCTGACAGGCAGGTAGGCCATCCAGTTATTTTAGCCGGGCCGGCTCAGGGGCCTCATTTATAAAGGGATATACGCTCAAAAAATGGCGTACGCCAGTTTCTACGCAATGTTTGCGATTTATAAAATACTAACTTGACGGGAAAATGTGCGGTCCTCCACGCAAACTCTAACCCATGCGTACGCACTAAGCACACAAACGGGAGAGACGAGAAACTGCGACACCGTTGGCAGAAGGAAGAATGGAGAGAAATATGTGGAAATAATACCATAAATAAAATGTTACCTCTCATTTATCAAATATGAAGAATTCATTTTCAAACATTGATTAAAGCCAATCTTTAAATGATTAAACAAACGCCTGTTTGAGACTCCTCAGTGCACACAAAAACATAACTTGGAGAAATAAATAAATACGGATATGCTATTTAAAACCACCTCGAATATGTTGTGTTAATGTTATGAAATGTTTTCTCATAAATGATGCGGTAAACAGGAGGACAGAATTACGTCTAAACTGACGCCGTTTTGCATTTCTATAGGTTGTAGATACGAGCATGGTTTTATATACTATCACGTTTAATCGTGTTTTATGCCGTTTGCCAAGACTTGATAAGTCGCTCGTAAAACACAGGAGGTATGGAAACTAAGAACACCATATGTGGTAAATTGTACAGCTAATATAACACAACACATTAGTTGTATTTCCTTTAACTGGTGGATTATGGATATATAGTTGCTGATCGACAGCTGGAACACAAACCACCAAATACAACAAAATAATTCAGATCCAGTCGTCATGACTACACTCCGGAGGGATTCCCCGATCATTTCTTACAGTTTCTCATCAAGGGGGTGTCTCCTGTCCCCGGTACAAACACACTGCCTGAGGAAGGTTATGTGTATTTTTTTTGTCATTAACTTTTTTCGGACCACTTATTTATTTATTTTGGTGACGATCCGACCTCCATGCTGCTACTCTGGTTCAAACTGCATCCACCAAACAATATGATTTATCTCGACCTCCCCACAATAACCATAATCTGACACGGTGTGAGATGTCTTTTTTAGCTGTTCGGTCGTCATTTCCTGCGATCTTCTTCATGCAGTCAGTCAAAATGAATGAATGAATGGGCGTTTCTTTGACTATGTATAGGCAAATATGGGCGTTACGAGTCGATTGTGATTTATCAAGGGAAACAGGCGTAGGGAGTGCCGTACGCACTTCCCTCGCCGGTACGCAATGTTTTGTGAATCGGAAAATGGCGGAAAATGTATGTACCTATTTTTGTGCTTTGTACTACGTAAGCAACCTTCCTACGTCAATCCTACGCAAGGCGTTATAAATGAGGCCCCAGGTGATTGGTCGTGCTTTTTACAGCGCCACGGCTTCCACAGATGACATTTGTTTATGTATTTATTGTCAAAGCATTTAGTTTATTCATTGCTATCGGGATGTTAAGAGCATTCCATGGAATATAACAAAAAGTGTTTCTGAAGTGAATTACCTACCCCACCTTTAATTTGTAAACCAGTCAGAATAAAGTGTGTGTGACTCACTCTGGCAGCAGCGATCCGAACCTCTCCCTCTCCTTCTCCCTCTCACTCGCTCCCTCCTGCCTCTGGCTCTCGCTCTGTTCCCACACTGAGCGGTACTTCGGGTTGTGCTTCAGCCAATCACGGAGCGTCTCACAGGCCTGCCTGTGCAGCGACTCGTTGGTGAAACTGACCGCCAGCGCCATCAGAGCCGTCAGGTTATCGTTCTGCAGCTCTATACATCTGAAGAGAGAGAAGGGGAAAACAATGAGAAAGGAAATGTTAAAAATGGTCGATTAAGTGGTGCCTACAGATACTAAATCTAAAACATCTAAAAAAATCTTTAATATTATGTTACAGACTTACACATTGTGTGTAATAACTTTCATCATCAGTTGGTACAAATGATGACTTATACAGGTTTGTGTGTGAACCTTTTTATATCCAGTCTATGGTTTAAACATTTTGAAGCATTTTGCAATTTTGACGTCTGACCTGCGGAGGGCGCTGATGGCGGCGAACTCCTGCTCGTTCTCAGCCTGACAGGATCCCAGATACTGCCAAGCCTGGATTTAATGACAATAAATATACAGACAACACATCATCAATACACCTGCCCTCTGTGAGGAGACAGACACGAGGAAAATCACCAAGTTAGGAGACACTTTAGACGGTTTTTACATGTGGTAATCATCAGAATACTTGATTTATCGCGGGGGGAATTTGGTTTTTGTGACAATATAAAATAAAATAAAAAATCTAAAATGAAATAAAATAGAATAAATATAAGATGTTAATAAATAATAGAATAGAATATAATTAAATATTTATATTATTATAATAAGTCAGGCGAAAATGTACACCTAGTACAGTACTACAATATACTGTATAATATATAACAAAAACAAATATGTAAAAATGTTTATATGTGCAATATAGACATTACAGTTTAAGTATAAATTCAGATCTAAATGAGGAAAATCACTCAATTAGAGGGTAATCAAAGAACAGTAAACTTTATAATAATCGAAGGGTCTAATGTGTTTTTAAACGGATCAGAAATAGAACTAGTCTCCCACTTCAAGTATCTTGGAGTCATACTGGACTCGAACTTGACTTTTAAGAAACATATTAAGAAAGTATCAAATACCATTAAATTCAACTTGCAAAATGTTAAACAAATCAGACCTTTCTTAACTGTCAATGCTGCAAAGTCATACCTCCACTGCATGATTCTATCCCACATTGAATACTGTTTGACAAACTGGTCGTTTGCTTGTGCCACAAACCTGAAACCAATAGAACAGCTGTACAAGAGAGCCATCAAGGTGTTTGACAGAAAGCCAAATTCATACCACCACTGTGCCATCCTTGATAAACACCATTTCTTGAGTTTTGACCATTTTAAGTCTTTTAAAAGTATGTGTTTTTTTTATAAATGTTTACATGGACTGGCTGTTTTTGCTATGTTTGTAAAATGTAAACTTCTTAAATGTTTTATGTGAGGGACTGCGGATGGAAATGAGCTGAAAGCTAAATCTGGCACTGTTACGCTTGACACATTGCATTGTCCCTGGGAAATAAACGATTAAATAAATAAATAAATAATAAAGTCACTGAAAGGCTGAAGGAGTCTCACCAGCTGGTTGTCTGGTTCTTTCTGCACGGCGCTCTCAAAGAACCGCACGGCACCGGGGATATCCCCCGCCTCCATCCTCTTCACCCCCTCGGACAGAGGGTCCGGGTGGGACAAGTACGGGTTCTCCTCTTCAAACTGATACCCCTGAGACAAAGAAAGAAAACATGGAGAACAGATTAGATTGGATCTACTTTAGTGATCCCTATTTGCGATTTTTTTTATCGACACAGCATGTAAACAAGCCAATGCACACGAAGAAGAGTAGAAAAATATGGGGCTGCAAAATGAAAAGCAGTCACAGAATCCCTCTTTGGACTTAGGTCCACAATTATATGGTAAAAAAAATGGTCCTTGTTTTATGACAATGCCTGACTTTCCAAGAATGTTTCATCAATAAATGCTCCAAAAAAATACTATTTTTTACATTTTATATCTATAACGAGGAAGTGGATGAGCCAACAGGTTCCGACGGAGGGAGAGTGGATGGACGTGATTCATGTGTAATGGAAAAGTTGACATGTGCACTGAGACTACGGAGTGAAAAGTTTGAGAAGAGGTGGAAGGGATGGCGGGATTTGGTGCGGCCCACAAGGCGAGGTTTTATAAGGTTTTTGCAGTGGCGTTTTTATATGTACGAAAGTGGTGGGGCACAAAAAACTTAGATGTCTATATATAAGCTTCTGCAGTGACGTGCAGTGAGGTTCATGGCTGGTGAGGCACTGGCACTGACTCTTCAGGTTTACAAATACTATATTTTGACCTAAATCAAAATATAATATTATTTTTAAAAGCTTTTTTTGTCTGATGCTTCGATTAAATTTAAACAGACAGTTCAACAAAAGGATACCCAAAAAATGTAATTTTATCATTTACATATTGAATTGTTCTCTCTTAGTAAGATCCCATTTTCAATAAAATTGTGGTCTTACCTTGACTTGAAGATGAAGTCCATTTTCCTATCCTTCTGGACAAACATCTCTATTACTTTTTTGTAAAAGTCCTCCTTATCTTCTTGTAGTTTCAAAAGTCGAATCATAAATCTGATCGATAGATTTATGATTCGAAAATTATAAAAGTAGGGTAGACATGTGGATGTTATCCGGCTGAACAAAACGTGCATTTATCTAACAGGTACGTTTCCCACAGATCTTATTTTGAGCTATTTTCTAAAATCCTCTGGAGAAATCTCATTGTTTTTTTGTGGAGGGAAGCCATGCACAGCTTACTTCTTTAGGACGCGTCACTGCAGCTCTCTCGTCTCCTCTTCACACACCACACTTTTCGCGGCACACATACTTACAGCCAATCAGCTCTGAATTATGAGATGACGTTTGGTTGGGATGCCAGGCACAGAGCCCCTATGGTGATTACGTTTTTGCCGCACACATTGAATAGAAAAAGACTCTGAGCATGCGCAGTGTAGTTTTTACAGCACCCATAGACAGTGAGAGAGAGGGGCATGATCGGGGCTTGACCCACGTCGCTCAAAACAGCTCAATAGGCACACTGTAGACACTAATTCGAAGAACACAGACTAAAACAGCAATGTACAGACGAATCAGATGATTAAACATGATCGTAAAATATATTTTAAGATGTATTTTTTTGTAATTATTATTTTAATACTTTCTGCTGACACTAGGTGGGGCTGCCCCTAATGATGACCAGTTGTACAAATAGGAGGATAGCCTAATGACTGTCAAAGAGCTCTTGCCTCCGAGCAAGAGATAAATGATGTTTTTCTGACGGGTACCTTGTCATAGGAGGTGCTGAGCAGCTGATCGAAGTCCGACAGCCAGGGGTGGCTCTCTGCGTCTCTCTTGGCCATCTCCTCCCACTCCTGCTGCAGCTTCTCCCAGAAATCCACATCACTCTGACAGAACGACACATCATCACCTCACATTATACATCATCCTGGACTATAGACCTGCTCGACCTTTACTTTCTCAAAGGACAGATGATAGTGTATTGATGTGGTTTCAAAGCACAAACAAGTCAAAAGAGAAGAAGGAGAGACAGATGGAGTTTTTTTTAGGAACTCCTGCTCTCTGCTGCACTTTCTCAATGCACTCCTGATTGTGTGTTGAATTTGCACTATCCTCTTTTTAATGCACAAGTACCTTTAACCTAAATGTTTTTTTTACATGTGTCTACTCAATGCTATTTTTAGTTTGTTTGTATGTCTTTTACTGGTATCTGTATTCTGTGTGATATCAATTTCCTGTGAGATGTCTACTGTGAAGCACTTTGAACTGCACTTATAGATGAGAGTAACACCTACGTCACTTCCGGGCGAAAATTACGGCCCCGCCCACTTTTGGGGGAAAACAACGCTGTCATTTGAATGGCGGTCAATACAAATTCTGAAGTTTTTGCCAATCCGATCAGAAATGTAAGAAAACCGTGGATTTTTGGATCCTCAAAGAGCCCGGTTACGATGGCCAGACAGGCAAACAATTACATTAAGCCATTGGAAATCGACGATCGGGCTTGATATAACCCAGATTTGTGTCCGATATGACGTGATATATCGGAAATGTGGACCCACGGCACTATCAGAAAGTTGCTATCAGAAACAATGCCGACGTGTTTTGGACGTAATATGGTCTTTGTTTACATTAGCAAGCATCGCTAACACTCAGAGCTAACCTGTACTGGAGAGTACATGTGTAAAAAAGCATTAGCTCCGCCTCCTGATTTGTTTTTGTTCAAGCTAAGGACCCTGAATCAGCACTTTAGTAACAGGGCAAAAACAGAGGGATATGAGGGATGTCTAAAATACATGATCTGTTTGGTATTTTGGGCAAAACACATCATAGACATGTTTTTAAATATTTGTATATATCCGAGACCTAGAATATATGCCTAAATAAAGCATAATAGGAGACCTTTAAGTGGTCTTTTATTCTCGTCTCACCTCCACTGCAGCTTTAGCTTGCTGGAAGTCCGGCCCTGAAGTAGCAAACTCATCGACCCAAGCTTCAGCCGAGTCGTGTGAAACCTGAGCAGCAGAACAGAGCGATGAGAGACGTAAACATGAGTCAGCACATTCTGGCTATACAAATGTTAATAGAGCCAATAATGGAGATATTGAAAACAGGGAATATATAGAGGAAAGGGAATGAAAAGGAGATGAAAGAAGAAACACAGAAAAAGCTCAAACTCTATTACAGTTCTTCCAAATTAACTTCTCATTATTTTAATATTACAGCTACAACAAATATAACTGCTGAGTGTATCTTACTCCATGTTAGCTCTAGTAGCACAGCTTAAATATAGCAATATCTGTAGCTATGACTTAAAGGTCCCCTATTATACAAAATCCACTTCTTCATGTCTTTTCTACATCAGCATGTGTCCCCTCTTCTTCATGTCTTTTCTACATCAACATGTGTCCCCTCTGTGGAAAGAGACTCTGAAAGTTTCAGGAACAAAGATTCTCTCTCTTTTTGTCCTGATCCATTTATATAAAAACCTGTCTGAAAATGAGCTGATCAGATTTTGGCCACTTAATGATGTCATAACGATGTTTTGTCTTGTGTAACCATTAGCCAATCACCAACCAAGGTAACCTCCCCCCCCCCCACCTTATCACCTGCATCTCCTCCTCGAGCACCATTGGGTTCTTTGTAACCAAATATCTCTCAGAGGGGCGTGGGGAGGGGCTCCTTATTTTCATCTGAAGTAACAGACAGAGAATCAGCACTTTTGAAACAGCGCTGAAACAGAGGGGATTATGGGTAATGCTGCAATGATCTGTTTGGTGTTTCAGCCAATCAGAGACAGGTTCAGTATATATTTGAGACCTATAATATATTGATGAAAAACAGTATAATAGGGGACCTTTAAATATTACACAACAGCTACAAAATAGTAACTACTGAGTGTATCTTACTCTATCGTAGCTCTAGTAGCTTAAATATAGCAATATCTGCAGCTATGACTTAATAAAACCTATCGACCTCAGGGGTCCTACCTTCCTGACGACCTTTGCCCACTTCCGAGCTTGTTTAGCTTTAACTTTCTCAATCTTCTCCTCCCTCTCTGGAGGCTGCAGGGGGAGACTCCCTCCCCCCGTCTCCGTCAGGAACTATGGAGGGAGGGAGGAGGGGAGGCGAGAGGGAAATGGGGCGATGTTTCGAGGAGGGGTAGGCGGAGTAGGAGTCATTTCAGGTAGTTTAAGGATTAAGGAGTAGATGAATGGAGGTTGTTAATTGAGGAAATGACAAGCCGAGAGTTTGAAGGCAGGTCCAAAAACATGGGAGAGGGACATGTCAGAGTTAGAGGGAAATTACAATGGAGCTAATGTGAGCAGATATTCATCATTAACAGGGCTGAGAGCTACACATGCACAGTGTGATAAGGACGCCCGTTGCTGCCAGGATTACATTTTAGATTGCTGTATATCAAATAAGTAAAATCTTAAGCGAGTTAACGGGTCAAATTTAGCGGATTAATCGTTGTTTTTTAATCTAAATTGTAAAACAGTCGGTTTTGTCCCATAAGTCATACATTTGAGTCTATTTTCAAGTACACAGTGTGTGTCTGTTACCACTGCTCTCAGTTAGTATTCAGTACTGTAGCTTTGTTTTTCTTTCACCAGTGTATAAGCCTTTGTGGTTTTAAATACCCTATTAAAAAAAAAACAGAATTCTTTTTTTTTTCTCAACTCCATTGAAGCTCAAGCTGCAAATCTGCTCCTTATGTGGAAAACTCATATACTTAACGGGCTTATAATGCGGCATTTTTTATAAAACAAATGTCAAATGTGTGAATTATTATTAACTAAATCAATACAGTAAAACAAACGAGGGTACAGTAAGTCAATATTTAGATTTAATAGGCGAAATTGTGATTTATTATCTCACGACGTGGATTCATTATGTCCTCCTTTTGATGAACTGCAACGTATACAGTATGTATGTCTTTCATATCGAACTGGCAGAAAGAGTCTTTGTGTTTTAGGGGGAGAGTCTAGTTAAAGAGAGCAGTTTTCTGGCATCAGCCCGAGTTGAATGAAGTCAAAGTAATTATTTAAAACCGCGAGTTAAACTGAGGACACATTGTTCACATTAAAAAGCTAAAAACTCAAGAAGGGTAGTTCTCTTTTTGCTGAATAATTTCCATCTGCAGAGTTGGTGCAGCTTCATATTACAGCGAGGGCAGCGGTAAGGAAGGAAAGGAAAATGTTCCTCTGATGAGTCACATCACTTATACTCAGAGGTGGGAAGTAGTGGAGTACAAATACTTCGTTACTGTACTTAAGTACATGTTTCTGGTATCAGTACTTTACTCCACTACTTATTTTTCTGATGACTTTTTACATTTTTTTAAACACAAATACCTGAACTTTCTACTTCTTACATTTTCCAAACAGGCTGGTTCATTGCACAAACATGCTGCATGTCGTTGTTCTTTGTGCAATGACAATAAAGTTGTCTTAAATGTTCCTCACCGTTCTTATTTATTTTGCATGTTATTTATAGCGAGGGTGATCTCGTCTAAGGTTAATGGCGAATCAAGTTCTTTTGAAACATCTGGACCTACGGTAGAGAAATTGAGTTTGTCTAAGAAAGCACCAGAGAGGGCAAAAGTACACACATCCTTTACTCAAGTAGAAGTACAGATACTCGTGTTTAAAAATACTCGGGTAAAAGTAGAAGTACTGACTAAACTTCTTTACTCAAGTAAAAGTATGGGCTCCGAAATGTACTTAAGTAAAAAGTACCCATAACTTTGTGTCCTTGGGCAAGACACTTCACCCTCATTTGCTGTATTCACTGTTACATGTCTGATATGTGTTACATTTACAAATACCTGAACTTTCTACTTGTTACATTTTCCAAACAGGCTGGTTCCTTTAGTTTGAATGTGTGTTTGGTGGCGTGATCATTATTATTTAGAGTCATTGCGTGCCTATTGATTTGAACACGATCCGTGTATCCATCATTTCCTGGTCTTCTCTAAAGAAGAGGGACCAATGAAAACGTTGTCATGTTGCCGTTGTTCAGCATGGAAACATTCATTAGCTAACAATGACATTATTGTTCTATTAATATAAAGGGAGGTCAGGTACTCTTTAAAACAGCTGCTAGTTATGGGTACTTTTTACTTAAGTACATTTCAAAGTCTTTACTTTTACTTGAGTAAAGAAGTTTAGTCAGTACTTCTACTTTTACCAGAGTATTTTTAAACACGAGTATCTGTACTTCTACTTGAGTCAAGGATGCGTGTGCTTTTGCCATCTCTGGTTGAACTGTGTAAAAGTGAAGCAGAGAGCCTCCCCAGAGTTGAATGAACCCCCCCCCCTCTGCACCTCGTACCTGGTTGAGGTGGGAGGCCCAGCTCTGAGCCTCCTCCGCCTGAGCTCTATCTCTCAGCTGTTTGTCTGTCATGTTCTCCACTGTCACACTGCCCTCGCCAATCTGCCTAATGAAGTGCAGGAACTACACAACAAAAAGGACAACAAAAAAGGCATTTAACCGTTATCAGATCCATACTGATGTGTTTCTTAGGAACTACTCTATAGAAGTGTTACAGAAAAAGAGAATAGATATGGTGATAGAGGCTTTAAAGAGTCCAGTGAGTGACATGGAGGGACGTGAACACGACGCTCACCTCAGAGTTTTGTAACTTTGGGTCGTCGACCTTTGAGACGAGCTCATTGGCTGTTTGCCTCAGATCCTCCCCCGGCTGATACTCCTTCGTCCTGTCACATTATGAAAAACAAATGTATGTTAAACTGTGACAGGCTATATGCAGGAATCCTGAAGTCAAATGTAAAACCTTTTAAAACCTTTTTTAAGACCCTTTCCATACATTTTAAGAACTCATCGCCACTTGGAGTTTTAACCGGTTACATTGGCGACACACTTTACCTCACATTGACTATATACAGTATTGATTGTCCTTCCTCCTTATCTTCCATCCATTTGGACGCAAACTTGCATTTCCCCATAACGATGTTGTTTAACAACCGGCGTAAACGGACCTTCGCGCGCTATCAAGCAGTGAGCGTGCGATGTCCTGTTCAGATGACGTCCAATCCAACGGGATGCCATAAATAAACTACACAGAATCACACTGCACACCTACGCAATGATTACATTCAGTGACACGTGACTTGAATTTTGAATTGAGCCGTCCCTTATAGATACTATCTCTTTACGTATTAGTGATGGGAATTCCGGCTCTTTTTAGTGAGCCGGATCATTTGGCTCGGCTCACTAAGAAGAGTCTTTCGGCTCCTAAACGGCTCTTCATGTTACCACAGTTTACCACGGAGCCTCAGTTTCGCCGCTGCGAGGCTCCGGCGCTCGCAGTTCACGCGCGTGCTCCACTAGCACCCCCCCGTCAAGGCTCGCCGGCAGTACACTTTCCGTCACAGGAACACTCTTTGCTGGCGGCGAAAATAATCCCACCAGACTCCTTTGCCCCTCCAACAGAGGGATGTCCTTGTCCTTTTTCCTTTTCGTCATTTCAAGCGATAAAAACTCGATCTTTTCTCCAATTATGAATTTTTTTGGACGCCCTCGGCTCGAGTTCAGGGCGCTCCGAGCTGAATAAGGGCGTCAAATTACGGCAAGACGCCCCCCTGGCGGAAACACTGTTGTTTAATCCAACCTTGCAAAGCAAAGTAATGTGGTGACTTACTCAAAAAAAATGTTATCCCTTTTATTCTCTATTAAAATGTGTTTTTTAATCTCAGGAGATTTCCGATTTTTCTCTTGCAAATGTTTGACATAAATGAGTTTCTTGTCCATGTGAGTTCACACATTTTAGTCTGGAAATTCAGATGTTTTCTCTCAATATTTGATCAATATGATATTTGTCATTTATTTTCAAACCACAATGGAATATGTTGTCATATAGTAATCCTAGAATATCTGTATTGTTCTACAAGAAGACTGGAACAAATGAAATCAGGCTGAAGGTCGTACAAGCTAGTCATGTTGAGGTCAGTGCACTGTGTTGATGATTAGATATCTTAGAACAGACATGGTTAAAAGTTAGAAGAACTTAATCCATGCTCAGAAATGCATTGTTCACCTTCTACTATTCTCTTTTTGTCTTGTATATGGTGCTCTTTGTATTAGAATGTACCTTAAATAGCTAATAATATAAGCCAATTCTCCTTTGCAATCGTTCAACACTCAAGTCCCTCATCCCCGTTTCTCACCATTCGCTCTCCTTGTCTCCCAGATCTCCGAGCCACAGCTTCTCCTCCGACTGCTCCAGATATTCCTCCGCCCAGCGACCAGGATCTGAAGCAGGGAGAGGGGAAAAAAAGGGTGAGCACATTGTGAAAAGCACACACCATGCAAAAAATAAAAGGATTTATCCATAGCTAGTTTTCCTCTGATGTCAGTGAGGATTGATGACGGATGACAGACTGATGATGATTACAGAAAAGATGAAGGGCTCGTGAAGCAAAGCGTGTTCAAAGAGTGAAACATAAGGGGAGCAAACCTGCAGCCTCAGCGATAAACTCTTTCGTCCAATCAGCTTCTGCCGCTTCCCCGAGAGCCACGAGCCCCGGTGCGGAGGCAGAGTCCGGACCGGAGAGGAACTCAGCCGTCCAATCACCGGAGAGCGCCAACGCTGCCACATCTGGAGCTGTGACGTGGAGGAATACGGTGCTTAAAACACTGGAAACTGTTCGTGCAAAGATTTAAAGGTCCCCTATTATACTGTTTTTCATCAATATATTACAGGTCTCAGATATATGCAAAACATGTCTCTGATTGGCTGAAATACCAAACAGATCATTGCAGCATCCCATAATCCCCTCTGTTTCAGCCCTGTTTCCAAAGTGCTGATTCTCTGTCTGTTACTTTAGATGAAAATAAGGAGCCCCTCCCCACGCCCCTCTGAGAGAGATTTGGTTACAAAGAACACAATGGTGCTCTAGGAGGAGATTCAGGTGATAAGGTGGGGGGGGGGGTTACCTTGGTTGGTGATTGGCTAATGGTTACACAAGCCAACAAATCGTTATGACATCATAAAGTGGCCAAAATCTGATCAGCTCATTTTCAGACAGGTTTTTATATAAATGGATCAGGACAAAAAGAGAGAGAATCTTTGTTCCTGAAACTTTCAGAGTCTCTTTCCACAGAGGGGACACGTGTTGATGTCTTTTAAACATAAATATGTGTCCCAGGTGTGTCAGGGAACTCACAAAGTGTCAGAAAACAAAACCCCCTCTCTTTTCCTCCGAAACCCAAATCTCTAAAAACGGGGCTACAACGGAGCTGATCCAGATTTGCGTCCGATATGATGTCATATCTGAAATGTGGACCCACGGCACTATCAGAAACGTTGCTATCAGAAACAATGTGCGACGTGTTTTGGACGTGATAAGGTCTCTGTTTACGTTAGCAAGCATCGCTAACACTCAGAGCTAACCTGTACTGGAGAGAGTCTTTTTTTTTTGTTTAAAGCTACGGACCCAGAATCACCACTTCTCGAACAGAGGTGAAACAGAGGGATATGAGGCTAGCATGTGTGATCTGTTTGGTATTTTGAGCAAAACACTTCATAGACATGTTTTTCTATATATTTGTATATATCTGAGACCTATAATATATGCCTAAAAATACTATAATAGGAGACCTTTAAGCCTGACCCATACAAATGCTGGAGAAAATACTTAAAAACTAGCTTGTAAAATACTGAAGTAATGAAGTGTACCTCTTTGTGGAGCTTGCCTGTAGCTCTGCTGGTCAATCTGCTGCATTTCCTCCAACAGCTGACCCATGTCAAATGTGTGAGGGGGGCGAGGGGGCGCCTGGAGGAACTCATTCACCAGCTGCAGCACAAACATAAAAGAAATTCAGCTTTTCAGAGACTATATCAGGACATTTGCCCCCAGTATTCTCAGGGCTGAAATGCTTCTGTTATTATTGTACAGTGTTGAATGTGAAAATGTGAATAAGTGCTGACCTCTTCCTCAGTTGCAATTTCAATAGAAGAGGGAGGCATCTGAGTAGAAAAAAGGAGAACATTTGTTATAAAAACATGTTATTTTCAAGAAGCAATTTCATGAAAACACTGAAATATGAAGAGCACAATGTGGAGGATGATTTGACCTAGAGAAGGCTAGAATATATGTATTATCATTGTATTAATACAGAAAGATAAACCTTATCAATGCTATAATAAATAAACAGTCGATTGATATCAGAAAATAGTTTTTTGTTAAGTAAATGTTTTGTAAGTTCAAAATCGAAAGATATTCAGTGTAATATGATATAAGACCAAAGAGAAAGTCATTTTTTCAGAATTTTCTGCCATTTTTGCAAGAAAAAAATAGCTTGAATGATTATCGATTATTAAAATAGTTGGCAATTATTTTTCTGTCAATTCACTTATTATTGCAGCTTTAAATCTTAATTGTGAACAGGCATGTATACATGCAAATACTATACATATCCACCTATGTCATGACACTTTTCTCTGTGCGCGGCAAAACAAGCTCGCCAAAATGGCTTCACCAGTCTGGCAGTATTTTAAGGTGTCCGAAAAAGACAATAAAATAGCGGTATGCAACGTGTGTGTGAAGCAGAAATCCTGCAGCTCCACCCGCTGTGACTGACCGGTGAGCGGAGCAAAACACACATTAAGAGTTAGACCTAACACACTATTTTATCTACCTCTGGAACAAGCTAAACTAGTTATACATATATTTATTCTTCACTGTCGGGTCACTCATTACTGGATCAGTGAGCTGCATGAGACGATACTGACAGGCTGTCAGGGGAAGGAGAGTGAGGGGGGGAGAGGGAGAGGAAGAGAGGGAGAGGGAGAGAGAGGAAAAGAGAGGGAGAGAGGAAAAGAGAGAGGGGGAGAGGGGAAAAGAGAGAGAGGGGGAGAGAGGGGGTGAGAGGAAAAGAGAGCGCTTCCGCTCATTTCTCCCGTGTTATTATCCCAAGTGAATGTAAACTTGAATAATGGACTTCATTTGAATGTAATAATTATGTTGGTTGTTGTTTGTGGAAGCGCCAGTGAATGAGCCCATTAACTGAGTTTTAAACATCACTTTACATGGAAGATCCCCATAGGCCCCGCCCACTCGATCGGATCGGCGATCGGTATCGGCCGATACTGATTTCTGCGATCGGCCCCAAAATTGGCGATCGGAGCATCCCTAATATAAAGCAACCTGTTACTTAGTCATCAAGTATTTATTCCATCTAGGGATATTGCGACACATGCCATGTCTGTTGTTAAGCAGCAACTTCATAATAACACTAAAGTATGTGCAGTTGGTATCAATGCTATAATAAATACATAAATAAATGGTATAAAACATTTCAGAAAATAGTGAAAAAGTAAGAGTTGAAGGTGATGTCTTTAAATGTTTGTTTTGTCAGTTAAAAACAGCGAGCACGAAATCCACATTTTTGAGAGGCTAAAAACTGCATTTTCTGCAATTTATTCATGAAACATTACGTATTAATGAAACCTAAAGCAGCCCGTTACATTAGTCATGTATTATTTATTCCAGCAAAAGGTGTTTCCAAACATGCCATGTATGTTTCCCGATATCACTGACATTTCTGCAGTCTATATAGATATTTTAATAAATAAGGTAAATACAAATAGGCTCAAATAACACTTTCAGACTGCTTATGAATGCAATGAAACCAAAACACAACAGTAGCTCCACTGTGTTGCAGATTTTTTTAATTACTAATGGTCATGTACATGTGATGTTTTGTTGTTGTTGTTGTTGTTGTTGTGTTTTGTTTCTTTTCGTTAACAGTCAACTAAGTATTATTTTGTACGTTTTTGTGTTTCTCTTATTTTCCTACAATTGTTTTTGAGAAAGGGGCGGGTAATATAAGATTATTTTCAGGTACGGTGTGTTTATAGAGACATGTTTTGTAAATAATTGTTAAACCTTCAGTTACCATGAAGGGAACAAATGAAAATGAAATGTATTAGTTACTCACTGTAGGTGTTGAGCGGTGCCGCCATGCACCCCCCTCCGTGGTCATGTGACCGGTCAGCTTCATGAGGGGATTGGCTCCCCCACACTCGGCCTCCACCAACTCCCGCATCGCCATGGCAACACAAGCACGAGGCAAACCCTGATCAGACCACCTGAGAACTGAGACGGGGAAAAGACGATCACATACTGTCAGTGAGCGGGAAGTTAAAGGAATTATTGTTTGTTTTAATTGGATGTGTGATAATCCATGTAAATCCATAGGGTAAACTGCATAGGGGTGAACTAACGATTATTGTCATTGTTAAACATTTGGTCTACACAGAATGTCAGAAAACAGTGGGAAAATATTCTTCGCAGTTTCCAAGGTGATGTCCTTCAAATGCCTTGTTTTGCCAATTTTTTATATGAGAATAAATAGAGAAAAGCATGAAATATCCATATTTAAGACACTAATATAGTATAAATTCTAAAATATATCCACATCTAACACTGTAAAATGTCTTCTTGTATTTCATAGCAGTGATATGCTATTTTAGCTAGTATGAAATGTTATTCTGTTTGCATTTGAACCCGTTAAGCCCCCGAGCCTGTTTTTCAGGTCTCAGGCTCGAAAATGACATGCCCAGAACAAATGACCATATCTTCACTTCTAAAAGGGGTAAATTAATCATCTTTTTTCTCAAAGTAATGATAAACCTGTGAGTTGGATGTAGACAAGTCAGAATCAATATAGATTTTTTTTTATTTGAAAGTAAATTCAGATTGAACATAGTAAAGAAATGTAAATTATAGTGTCCGTCCAAAAAAAAAACATTACTGATAGTGAAAACCACCCTTGAATGATGGGATAGTAGACTAAAAGCTTTAGGAATCCAAACTATAACATGTAATAAGTACCCTGTATCAAGATTGATGCAAAACAAGTGACATTTGACCTTTTTAGAGAGGTTTAGAAAAAAAAACACTTCTGCGGTCATTTAGGTGGATTTGACCTATCTCTGGTATCTCTGGCACCCATTGGTCGATTTTGATGATTGATACCTCTTTTTAACCGTTAGAGCCAATAGAATCGAGGGAAAGTTCCTAAAAAATCCATCTAAAACCCATTGGTGAATGAGTGATGCATAGCCAGAATGCCCAAAACCGGAAGCTGTCATACACTCTCGTAGCAGCTAATATGAAATCTCCGTTATTGACATAAATATGAAGATGGATTATCAGTAATCATTTCAAAGTGACACAGACACGTTGGATTAACCTATGGATTAACCTTCAGCAGCGTTTTAATGCCATTGAACACAACTTTTGATCAGAACAACAGCAAAGGTAAGACATATTTTCAGTTTTTCCTCCGTAAAGCTACGTTGTGTGATGTCTGGGTTCGCTTCCCCTGCCGCGATCTCAGCTTGCTAGCTGATATCTTGTTTGTGCAGATCCGATAAGTATAAGTATTTCTACCGTGAGTTCTGTGCGTTAGACGCTTCTTGGATATGTGGATATGACACATTAATAGGTTGTTAAATGTTAAGAAGCCCTGAGACAGCTTAACAGGTTAATGACTGTTTAATGTATTTAATGTCATTTTACACTGTGTTTTTTTGCATTATGTCTCCACGCCTTCAATGTTTTTTCAAAATAAATATAAAACTTGATTTGCCTTTAACGATTAATTGATTATAAAATAGTTGGCAATAAATCTTCTGTTAATCCACAAATAGATTAGACAGCTTATTATTGCAGCTCTAAAACTGCACAGTCATAGGTCTGATTCCCGAAGGAAGATGACAGCAGCTGAGGCCCATTACGACACATTATGCAAAACCAAAACGAAGCATCCTGCAAAGGGGCATAGAATAACTCATGCGTAAAATTAACCTGTCAAGTGTTGTTTTGTTATCTTAGAAAATGTGTAAGTCAAAAACAAAATGCACGATAACAGACATCCAGAGTTCATTGAGTATTCAGTGTTGTGTCGAACGTGTCCACGCTGCACAGATAGTCTCTGTCACATCGGCAAACTGAAGCTCCATCTGCTGTTTTCCGTGTCATTTCCTGGCTGAGGGTGAACCGTGAATAATGTGGATGTGATGGCCCGGCAGGCACAGACATTCACTTCATGTATCACTCTGCAGTAACTTCAGAGAGCTTTAAACTGCATTGCAGCCTTTGCAATAACAACAAGACGACATTTTAAAAATACATCACTTGTCTTGTATAGATATATTCCAAGACTATAGTTACTTCTGGGTATTGAACCCAAATACTTCTTTGTTAGTGAACCATATGTCCATAGCACTAATATCCAAAAGCTTCTTATTTTATACTTTTCTCAGGATCCCCATAACCCATTACTGCAATAACAACCACTAGGATCCGGATAAAAGACAAGAAAATACATTAAAATACCACATTTCTACAATTCACAATAACAATAACAATAAGAACAAAATCTGAAAAGTCAAAAACTGAAAGCTGCTTGCAAATTCGAATGAAGTTGAATTTAATTAAGGAGATATTTCCAAATACATACATTAAATATGTTCCACATTTCGAGGTTTCTATTGGACAAGTTCTTGTCGACTTTTGTTGAGACTACATTAACTACATTTGTTTTATAATAAAGGGTTTTGCAGAAGAAAAAGCCTGTCTATAATTAATAAGGTACTAAACAACTAACATTTTGGTCATTTAAATGACACCCCGACGTGGTCGTCAATATGATTGTAATATTAAGTTCAATTAGGACCTCCTTTATCTAATGATCACTCACCTGATTGTCCAAAATCAAAACAATTAGGATAGTAAAATCCTTCTGACGCAGTTCAGCTCCTTCATGCAAAGCCTGAAAATAACATAATGAGGTTCAAGAGGAAACTTGCAGCTCAAATCACTCACTGACCTACATCACGGATGAACAGCTGACAAACTGTCGAACATGACGGCCTACTCAACTTCTCTATCCCCCCCTGGAGGAATACGTAATGGTAACAACTTCCATGATGAACTGTCAGTAACAGAACATGTAACTCCCTGTCCTCCACTCAACTCCACTCTAGCAGTGTTCACTTAAAAGAAAACTGAAACATATTAACAAGAGTCCACTCCTTTCACTCCTATTGTCCAGGCTTAACAACTAATTATTCCCACTGATTGAAAAAGCTGCTGTACGGTGTGATGATTAGGGTCAAAGTAAGAGGATCACACACAGATATTAATACACCATCACTGATAGGACAGTGACACTTGTTTACTTGCTCACTCAGAGTGTTACATGCACCACTGTCTGGTTTGGATTAGCCACCAGATAGAACATCGACAGACTACTGTGGAAAATCAGGACTGCGAACCTGCCCTCTGTTCAGGATTTATTCCCCTCTAGAGTCAGGAAACAGGCAGGAAACGTGAGCGCAGACCCTTCACACTACATTGTTTTAACATCTTCCCTCTGTTAGACTCTACAGAAAACAGAAAAACAACCAGACACAAAAACTTCTTCTAGCAGGCCGTCCCTCCTGAAAAGTTAACATCACTGAAATGACGCTATATATATATATATATTATCTATTCTACCAAAAAATACACACAGTTGTTTGTAACATGAACATATTCTAACTGTTAAATCTGAACCTAAACCGCTGTATATACTGAGTACATATACATGCATAGACTGTACATACCCACACATGTACTTGTATATAAAGCAACCTTTTAATGTAGTCATTCAATATGTATTTCACTGTATCTGCACTCCTGCTTACAGTTCACAGTAACAGTCTGATTTATAAAGAAACATCTATGTTAATGTTTAATTTGACTCTTGTTCAGCTTGTGTTTAATAACTTTGATGACTTTGCAGATCTAGGTTGTAAAGACAACATATAGAGTCAACTAATACATGTTTATATATTAGAAGTTAACTGTCAGCAGAATATCAAGTAATCCAAATAAGCCCCACATCATAGTTATGTCCACATAATCCATTAATAATTAAACTCCAGTTATATAATATATATGAATCTGAAATGGGGCATACTGCAAAGAGAATACTTTTACCTCTGGTACTTTCTGATAATTATTTTGAACCTTTAAGTAAAGTTTGTAGAGCTTGTACTTGTAATAATAACGTATTCTTAAACTGTGTTACTGCTAGAGTGATAGCTGAGTATTACTTCTATAACTTTATTTTTCAGTGTAAGTATATTAAGGACAACAAATACAAATTCTTGTATGTCTGCTCATATCCTACCTGCTGCATTAACAGGGACAGAAGGTGTGTGATTCTGTTCTGCAAATCCACACATAAGGTGGACACATTAAATCAATTAAATGTCAGTATTAAGGAATTATATATGTAATGTCATCTTATATTTTTTAAATGTTCTTATATGCTATAAATGTCCCCATGCTGTGGGACTAAAAAAATATTTCTGACCTTATCTTTTTGTTTACATAGTTTGTTAATATGTATGTGTGGAGAGCTGATGGTAATAATGTCATTGTACAGTGCAACTGCCTGTTATACTGTAAACATGTTAATATGATATCTTGAATCTTGTATTAAGGTGCTTTTTACCTGTCAAGCTGCTGCCTTTTGTCAGAGCAGTTACCTGTACACTGATAGCATTGTTTAGCACGATGCTAACTGAGCTCCAGTCAGAAACAGCTAAATTAGCTTCGTAAACGTTAATTATAAAATATGCTATAACGTAGCCAACATGCTGTCTATTAAATAGGAAATCAAACAAAGCCTATTTAAATAATAAAAAATCGGTTTTGTCTTCTAACAATAGCGAATGTAGCTAGCGTTAAGCTAATGGTGAAGCTAGCTCCTGAAGGGCCAGTGCAGAGATCATTCCTGCTGTGTATAGCAGGAGAGAGGCGTCTACAGACGGGCAGCGTGATGTTCATCTTACCGCCGACAGCTGCTGCTGCTGCTGCTGGAGCCGAACCGACACTCCCTCCTCTCCGGTGTGTCCTCCACCAACCGTATCAAAAAGACAGGTGCCTCAGTGTGAAAGCTCCCGGTAACCGTGTGGAATATCAGCGCTTCTCCTTTATTTACCTTCCTCATCCATGACCCACAAACCCTTCACCGATCGCTTTGAGAGTGTCGTAACGTAGGAACGTAACGGTTGGTTTGGTATTCTCGAACCGTCCTACGTAATAAGACTCAGGGAGTTGAGAGCATTGGAACGATGGAAAGACAAAAGAGAACGTACATTATTTACGTAAAATAAATATTGCGCAGGAGATCAAAGTCCAGTTGCCAGGTGCAATAACACCCCATGAAGCAGTGGTGGAAGAAGTACTTTGCTTGTACTTAAGTAAAAGTAGAAATACTACAGTGTAAAAATACTAAGTTATAAGTAAAAGTCATGCATCGAAAATGTTACTTAAGTAAAAGTACAAAAGTATCATCCTCAGAATATACTTGAAGGACCAAAAGTAAAAGTAGGCTACATAATTGTGCGTTGAAGCTCAATTCAGCATTACTGGATTATGATTATTGATGCGTTAATGTGTAAATCACAGATGGTAAAGGTGGAGCTAATTTAGATTACCTACTTGTATTTATACTACTGCTAAATATCTTAACCTATAATTGTATATCATAGTTTATTTATATGTTTTATTAGCCACTAATCTGAATCTGTAAAGTAAATAGTGACTCATTTTGTTAGATAAATGTAGTGGAGTAAAAAGTACAAAATTGGCTTATAAAATGAAGTGGAACAGAAGTATAAAGCATAAAATAAGGAAAGCAAAAGTACCCTAAAATCTTACTTATGTACAATACTTGAGTAAATGGAAATTACGGCTCTTTGAAGTGAGCCGGATCTTATGGCTCCGTTCCTTTCCAAGAGCCGTTCAAAAGAGCCGTTCAAAACAGCCGTTTTTTTTTTTAAGGGGGCGAGGTTACTAGGTTTATCTGCGAAATAATCACCAGGATAATGATTGACTGTATTGCCAGAAATCTACTTTTACTCACAGAAAAATGTATAACTTGCTACATCTCTCAGCCAGCCAAACTACTACTCAAGCAGCATGCGTAATGCCATCATCTATGGCAAATGTGCATTCAGGAAAGCAAGTTCCCGTAAAGGTGAGTGGATTTATGGCAGGCAGTGAACCAACGATAAAAAGAACGGCTCTCACCAAGTACGACTCGGTTCCCTTTGTTCGTACCAAAGAGCCGTTCAAAAGAATCGGATCGTTCGCCAACGTCACATCACTAAAATGTACTTCAATACACCAATGTCATGGAAGAATACGTTTTATCATAATATATGTAAGTGACATCAAAATGTTCTTATGTGTTAAAAGTAGGCTTTCTCATGCAAAATGGCAGATTAGTAGTGCAGTACAGCATCCTATCATTTAGGAATAACATGTGTTTTTTATATATCTAAAAAGCTACTATAGTAACTATAAGTGTTACATAAATGTCGAGTGGTAAAAAAGTACGATATTTGCCTCCGAAATGTAGTGAAGTAGAAGTATTAAGTATAGCATCAAATTGAAATACTCAAGTACAATTAAGTCAATTATAATTAATAAAAACTGAACACATTGTACCTTAAACTATGTGATTCTTCCAGGTTAAATGACCTTACTTTTTAAATACTGTTATGTGCATTGATTCAGTTCCTGCTTTAACAAGAAAGCTCTCATGGAGACGTCATATAGTGTTTTTATTATGAATTTCGTAATGTTTTCTGACAGTTCTCAATAACAATTAGTCAGCATAATCCATGTCATCATCGTATCAATAATTACAGGTAATGTTCCAATAGTAACATAGTAATAATATAAGTTATTAATCAATGCAATGTTTATTCCTTTCTTAACATCACACTCAAAAACGACAGGCTTTATTTACTGACAGGTTTAGCACTGCACATTGATAGGTTACACAGACAGACAGCAAGAGACACAGAGGGAGAGTGGGGGAGAGGTGAGGGGGAGAAAGGGAGGTGAGGAGAAGCACATTCATTGAACCAAATATATTTCATGGAGTGAGATAGAAAATAAATTAAAGGTTCAGTTTTGAAATGTGAAAAAAGTGTGAAATGAGTGAGACGTATCGACGTATCACAACAATGTGCCCTCCTTTTTCTGTGATTCAGATATTGACAAGTTCTTAAATTACAACAATATTACACACAAATTAAGAGACACTCATCAAGGGATTATCATCCTTATCACTACTACTATTATTATTATTATTATTATTATTATTATTATTATTATAATACTGTTTTTCTGATGCTGTAAAGGTGATCACTCGAATGGAAAAAAAGTAAACCTGTTCCCTCTCAAAGTGTGCAAAAAGAGTGGCTGCAATAATAATAGTGATAACAATAATATCACAATATTCATCCTCGTATGTACAGAAAATTCATTACAATCAATACAATCAAAACTGCCCAAGCTGAGCGGACATTCTGGAAACAGCAGGGGTAGCAATATGAGGTGTGTGTGTGTGTGTGTGTGTGTGTGTGTGTGTGTGTGTGTGTGTGTGTGTGTGTGTATGTGTGTGTGTGTTGTTGCATGTGACGTCTTATTGTAGAAGCAGTGTGCAGTGAGTGAAACAGTGCAGTGAGAGTCATTAAGAGACATTCCAGCGGTCACTGTGAGAGGGGTCAGAGGTCACCGGGTTTACTGTATATGACGATGTTTAGTCATCACAAGCTAAAACTCTGCTCCTCCTGACTCAACACCCAGAGGCTTTAATGCATCTGGGTATTGCATAACTTGGGTGAGGTGTGTGGTTGATAGATCCTCTCGTCTTATCATCAGCCCAACATAACATTTAGTCAGGAGCCTAAGTAGTCACAACACCAAAAGTAAAATACCTGCAAGCGTCGTTTAAGTTGTTATGGGTAAGTTGGAGTGACTGTGATGTCTGACCTCACTGTCTTCACTCGAGGAATGTGTCGAGAGAGGATGCCAAGAGGGAGGAAAGAGCTTGTGCACAGACTTCTCGAGTCGAGTCTAATCAGGGAGTCAGAGACATGTCGGGATCTTTTCAAGGCCTGTTCCACTTAGTAAAGATTTCACTCTGTGTTCAATAACAAAAGATAGAATACAATCTCTTTTTTTCTTTTTTTTTTTAAACAAAAGCAGTCTCATTCAACCAGTATAACACTATACAGACACATTACCATCGTGTGATTTAGAACTGGTGCACCACAGACGAGTTTGGTGGGGTTTTGCTCAGGCGGATAAATTACATTAAATGTATACATTGTGCCATTGAACATTTAGGTGGAGAACAACTGCCCGTTGTTGGCTATAGGTCACATATGGCGTTGAGTGTCAAGAGTATTACAGTGACTGTGTTGTGCGTCGTGTTTGTAAGCATACATTCCTTATACTAGTGTCAGCAGTCGTTGATTTGAAAAGTGTTGGAGTGTGTGAGCCGGTTTGTGGTTTCCATGAGAACTGGTTCAGTAGCGGCGGGCATCCTTCGCCTCTTTCTTGATGATTCGCTGGTCGTCGCTGGCGTCTTCAGGTGACTCCGCCGCCTCCTCTTCCTCTTCCTCCCCCTCCCCCTCCGTGTCGGCAGAGATGCCCATACGAGACTCGTAGGACTGCGGGAAAGATCGAAGAGGATGAGAACAGGTGAGGTTATTTATTAGTTTAAAGGTCCCCTATTATACTGTTGTTCATCAATATATATAATAGGTCTCAGATATATACAAAACATGTCTCTGAAGTGTTTGGCTCCAAACACCAAACAGATCATTGCAGCATCCCATAATCCCCTCTGTTTCAGCCCTGTTTCAAAAGTGCTGATTCTCTGTCTGTTACTTTAGATGAAAATAAGGAGCCCCTCCCCACGCCCCTCTGAGAGAGATTTGGTTAAAAAGAACACAATGGAGCTCTAGGAGGAGATTTAGTTGATAAGGTGGTGGGGGGGGGGGTTACCTTGGTTGGTGATTGGCTAATGGTTACACAAGCCAACACATCGTTATGACATCATAAAGTGGCCAAAATCTGATCAGCTCATTTTCAGACAGGTTTTTATAGAAATGGATCAGGACAAAAAGAGAGAATCTTTGTTCCTGAAACTTTCAGAGTCTCTTTCCACAGAGGGGACACATGTTGATGTAGAAGAGACATGAAGAAGAGGGGACACATGTTTATGGAGAAAAGACGTGAACAAGTGGATTTTGCATAATAGGTGACCTTTAAAGTTGATACACATTCAAGAGTTGTGGCTCGTTAAGAAATGTCATTAACAACACTGCATTACTTAACAATTTGAAGCTGATACTCAATGGACTACACATTTTAGAAATGGACTAAATGTTGCTGTTACAAAGAAACAACACGTCGTAGAACCCACATTTAAAAATGCAATTATATAAGATAAGAGCATTCGGAAGATACAAAACTGTAATGCAGACTTTTAAAGCCCAGGAAAAGACAACCATAAAGCCATATTACACATATTCTAAGATAAGATTAACTTTATTGATCCCAATTTGGAAAATAAAAAAATATGTTATCTAGTCTAATGTCATGATATCGATATAAAGCCCTAATGTTACTTGTAAAAAGACAACATTAAAAGAGATTAAAGTGTCTGTTCGATGCTAGAAGCCAGTAAATCTGCTATGTAAGAATGAAATAAATTCAAATGATTAACAAACAATAGCGTCACAATATTATAGTGTTGACTATTGGGGCCTTTAAAACGAAGAAAAGACAGTATCCAAAAAAACAAGGACGTTATCTTCATATCATGATATAAATATAATATCGATATAAATCCCAGCCCTTACGTCAATGTTAAATATATTATACATTTAAACAGGGATTAAAATGTTGCTGTTACAATGAAACATCAATAATAAAGTACATACAAAAAGTCTAAAAATACAAAATAGGCCACAAGTTGTATTATCTAAACGAAAAGCTAACATCAATATCATATTAATGACGTTTCTGTTTCTCACCTCCATGGGGTTGACGATGATGGTGAGGGCGGAGTCGTCCCATTGGTTGCCGCCCTCCTTAGCCCCGTCCCCGGCTCCCTCACCACGGCGATGGATGGAACGAATCCGGAACACTCCCAGGATCACCATGACAACCAGGAAACCCACACACACCATAA